GACCCCCCCCCCCCCCCCCTCGATAACGACGAAACGCGTCTCCGCGCGTCCACGTGCCCGGAGCATCCGCCCTTGACTTTTGCTCATGGCGGGGAGACACGAGTATGTGCTCGCCGCCGACGCGGCGCGGCGGCCCGACTCGACGGCGCTCAAGGGCGCCGTCCTCGCCCTCACTCTCACCCTCATCGGCTTTATGGCGATCGGACCACCAGACCTGAACGGCGATGGCGTGCCAGGAGCAGGACCAATCAGTGAGGCTCCGGCCCTTCGGAGCCAGGCTGTGCCACCGGTGATTGAGCTTGAGGTCGGTCGCCCGGTCCCGAGCACCGCCAACTGCACCCTTCGCTGGATCGATCAGCCACTTGACCATTTCTCGCACTCAGCATCGGGACGCACCTATCGGCAGCGGTTCTTCTTCAACGCCGACAGTTGGGAGGTGGGACGCGGGCCAATCTTCTTCTACGTGGGCAATGAGGCGAATGTAGAGAAGTACGTCAACGCGACCGGCCTCATGTGGGAAAGCGCGCGCCCCTTTGGCGCCATGCTGGTCTGGGCAGAGCATCGCTTCTATGGCGAGTCGGTGCCTGCAGAGGCGGGGGAGGGGAGGGGGCACCCCTACCTCACCCACGAGCTGGCGCTCGCCGATTATGCGGTTCTCATTGCCAAGCTGCGCGCCGACTTCGACGCAAATGCCTCGCCGGTGTTTGTCTTTGGTGGCTCGTATGGCGGCAAACTCGCTGCGTGGATGCGCCTCAAGTACCCCGCCTCGGTCGCTGGTGCCGAGCCCTGCCCCGACACTTAGCTCCTCAGCCCTAGATGCGCGCCGCCTCTCTCACTGCCGATGTCCCACTCGCCTCTGTCACGTTTGCAGGTGCAATTTCGTCCAGCGCGCCACTGCTCGCCTTTCGTGGCGAGGAGCCCGAATGGGACTCTGGCCTCCTACCATCGCAGCCCGATCGCACCCGAAGCAGCAGTCATTACCCCACCAACGGCATATGCCCCATAGGCTCCTACTACCGGATTGTCACCGAAGCCGCCTCGCACTACTCCGAGCGATGCTCCGCCAACTTGCGCGCCTCCTTCCCGCTCATCACCGCCGCGGCTGCTACTGCTGGTGGCCGCCGCTCCCTTGCCGATTTCTTCCACCTCTGCCACGTTCCTGCCGACGCCGACGCTGCTTCGATGCTAAAGTATTGGGTGCGCGACGCCTTTGACCGGCTTGCGATGGGAAACTACCCGTGGCCATCGGACTACATCGCGGGCACACCCGCCAAGCCGATGCCCGCGTGGCCGCTCGGCGCCGCCTGCCAGCAGCTCGACTTTGACGCGCCACTCGACGTGTACAACTTTGTGGACTCGCCGCTCGCCGAGTCTAACGTTGATGCCGTCGCCGACGACGCCTCTGACACCGACGACGATTTTGAACATGCTGCCGCGCTGCTGACGGCAGTGCGACGTGCTGCTTCCGTTGTGTACAACGTCAGTGGCGAGACGGCCTGCTACGACTTGCCTCTCTACCCGACGCCGCTCCACCCTGGCCAGCCGATGGACGGTATCTGGGATTGGCAGTGGTGCACGCAGGTGGGGCTGCCACGTGCAGCTCCCGCCGCGATGCGCCTCGGCGCCGCCCTGACCTCAACCTGACACCTGACCGAAGTCTCGGCTGCCCCCTCCCCCCTCCCACAGGCGATGCCCGACTCGTACTGGTTCTCGACGGACGGCGTCCGCGATATGTTCTGGCATCAGCCCTACAATCAGTCCCTCGTCGATGAGCACTGCGCCGCCGCGTGGGGGCTCAAGGCGCCGCCGCGCGGAAAGTGGATCTCGGAAGAGTATGGCGGGCGTGCCCTCATCCGTGGCGCTTCCAACATCGTCTTCACCTCGGGTGGCTTCGACGGCTGGGCCTCAGCCGGCATCGCGACCAACGTGACCAACGCAGAGATCCACTCCCTTCTGGTCCCCGACGGCGCTCCGCCCCCCCCCGCCTAGAGAGGCCTCGAGAGGCATGCCTAGAGAGGTCCACCCCAGAGACCATGCGATCATACCATGAATAGGCGGCCACCATCTAGATCTCATGTTCTCGCATGAGGACGACCCGGAGTCGGTGCGCGCAGTGCGCAGATTCCAGATGCAGGCAATCGCACGGTGGATCAGCGCCTTCCGCCAGGAGGGGCTCGTTCGTGTCGCCGCTTGGGGCGACGCCGTCTGAGAGGTTGCTGGTTGGCGCACCTGCCGTGTGGCGAGTGGCAATTCAGGCGGAGGCGGACGGCTTTCTTTGTTTTCCTGACAAGGTGGTGTTGTGGTGCAGCTGGTGGGGAGAGCACTTGTTAATCGCATGCGCGCGGCGCCGGGGGCCGCCGGCGCCGCTGCCAGAGTGCATGTGTACTTGTTGTCGTGTGCACACTCTCAACTGCACACACTCTGTCTATGTGTGCGGTGGCTGACCGTTCAGCGCGTGTGCGTGGTGTGTGCGCGCTCCTATATCTTTTCGGAGGCGACGAGGCAGCCCCGTATCAGGCGGGTATAAGCACATGCTCTACACACGAAGAGGTAGATCTAGTCACATTCTCTTCGTCTCACAGAGCGCGTAGCCTAGTCGCCGCCACTCCCTCAGAAAGCAGAGCCCAAGCAGGGCGTCTGGTAAAGTGCCGAGCAGATGCAGTGCCGGTGGGAACGGCGAGGGATCGCAGGCGCGGATCGTGCAGTGCACCCGCGTGAGCCAGGCCGCGACCCCAACCTTGCCCACACCGCCAAAGCAGAGCATAAGAGGCTGTCGCTCAGGGCCATCGAAGTACAGGCGCGCGTAGCCAAAGGCAAAGAGGAGGATCAGCGCCTGCAGACCCTCAAAACAGTCCTTTGCGAAGCCTGATGACACAGCGGCTGCGCGCTGTGCACCGTAGAGGGGAGCCAAGGCAGCCGTCAGGTCCGCGAGAGATAGGCAGAGCGCGAAGGAGCTCATGACGACGGCGTGCAGGCTGGCGATGAGGAAGAGTGGCTGGTGAGGCGGCATTGGTCGCTTCGTCAATGCGCGCTCCCCCCAAGGGGTTTCGGCTGTTTGCGGGGTAGGTCTTGCAAACGCACCATTCGGGGCAGCTCAAGCTCACCAGGCAGCCACGCCTGTCGTTGAAGAAGGTTGAGTGCTGCGCGCGGCGGGGAGGATGAATGATCCGCCAATGAACTCCGCGACCCCAGTAACCGCGTTGGCCGCGAAAGAGATCACATTATTATGCTTTCCGGAACAAAGGATGCACTCGCGCACGTTGCAGGCCCGAGCTTGCGCCACTGGGATTCGATTCTCGTAGTCCCACTCATAGTATGCACAGCAAAACTACGAGCATGGTAACGGGGCTAGTTACAAGCCCTCGAGCTCGTAGATCCGACCTTGTAGGACCTACGAGCTCGAAACTGGTAAACTAGCCTTGTAACTAGCCTGGATACGACCCGGCGCAGCAAAATGGGGTTTTAAGATACGCGATAGCCTCTTCGAACCCATTCAAAGCAACAAAACACACAACGAACACGAATCAAAAGTACGCTGCTGCGCCTGCCCAATTACGAGCCGTGTTACGAGCACCTAGTCTTCTTCCTGTGTATGGGATAGGATGGCATCCTTACAAATAGAGTGGAATTTTACAAATAGAGTGGCCCTCGAGACTAGCCCGGCCCGCTCCGAGTGCGACACGCTGGTGAGCAAGATACGAGGGCTCAGCCTCGTCTCCGACAAGCCTCCAGAGCTTCTGACTGCGAGCCCCTCTGCTGACGACAAAACCGATTGGCGCCGAGAGTTTGTTGTAGAGATTTCACGTTGTAGAGCGCCTCTACATCGCTCTACATCTGCATCGCTCTGTCCCGCGCCGGATGTAGAGCTCTACAGCTCTACAGCGCTCCACCGCTCTTCAGCTCTATAGCGCTCTACACTCTTGTACATCCTCTACTGTCTCTACTCCCCCGAGCCCGACCCCCCCCTCACGCCGTCAGGTTTTGGCGCGAGTCCGCAGTGGCACGAACAGACCCCCTATCCGGGTAGGAGCCGGCGTGGTAGACGCGTTGGAGTGGAAGAATTACGTAGATCGAGGTTTGCGGAACACCAACTTCATAGCAGTCATAGGCATGGTACATGGTTGCACACAGACGGTGTGATTTTGTCGCTCTTTGAGCTCTAGCAGGGGACTACGATCTCGCATACCGCCGTGAGGCCATCACTTCTCAGGTGTCTAGGGCATCACTTCTCGAGCGGAGAAAGATGGCTGTCATGGCACATGGGCGTCAGCACAAGAAGTAGAGCCCGTCCGCGCTGTATGGCCCGTCGGGCCAGACCGAAGCAGCCGGCTCGCTCTTGGTTTCCGCGCCTAGTTCGGAATCACGACCGCGCCGAGTGAGCGGACACCCACCCGCGTCCGGCGTGTCGCGCTCTCGCTCCGCGCCTCGGCAGATGTACTCGACCAGCCCGCGGAGGGCGGGCGGCATCGCCGCGACCTCGTCGGGCTGCGGCGGGCGGGCGGCCGCGTCATGCGGCTCCTCGAACCTGCCGAGAGGGCGGTGTGTGAGGAGGCCTTCGCGACCGCCGGCGCGGCGTGAGCCCCACGTCATTAACAGTGCAAGGCCCCATGCGCGTGGGTGAGGTGTGTGTGTGTGTGTGTGTGTGTGTGTGTGTGTGTGTGTGTGTGTGTGTGTGTGTGTGTGTGTGTGTGTGTGTGTGTGTGTGTGTGTGTGTGTGTGTGTGTGTGTGTGTGTGTGTGTGTGTGTGTGTGTGTGTGTGTGTGTGTGTGTGTGTGTGTGTGTGTGCGTGTGTGTGTGTGTGTGTGTGTGTGTGTGTGTGTGTGTGTGTGTGTGTGTGTGTGTGTGTGTGTGTGTGTGTGTGTGTGTGTGTGTGTGTGTGTGTGTGTGTGTGTGTGTGTGTGTGTGTGTGTGTGTGTGTGTGTGTGTGTGTGTGTGTGTGTGTGTGGGTGTGTGTGTGGGTGTGTATGCGTGTGTGTGAGTGTGTGTGTGAGTGTGCGTGAGGGCTTCTCGCACCGGAGCAGCTCGAGCGGGAGGCGGATGAGGCCCGGGTTCGAGCGGGGCCCCGCGAGGATGCAGGGCAGCTGCGGCCGCCGGAGCGGCTGCTGCCTCTTCTCTGCAAAGAAGTCTGCCACCGACGCCTCCTCCCCTCGGAAGCGGAACCAGTGCTCCGACGCGCCCTTGTCGTCGAGCCCGCCTAGGCGGTAGTAGCGTCCGGGGGGCATGCCCACGTACCCGATGCGCCAGCGGCGGTGCGCCTCTGCCGTCGCGTGCAGCTCCTGCTCGAGCGTGCTGCTCCACTGCTGCACGACCAGCCACTCCACGTCGGGCGGCAGCTCGCCCTGCAGCAGCCGCTGGACGGCGGCGTACAAGCCGTCGCGCAGAAGGCCGCCCGGGAGGCGTCCGGCGGAGAGGTGCACCTTGCACCGCTCGCTCACGTGCGACTGCAGGTGCGCGGGGAGGGCGAGCAGCTCGGGCAGCAGCTCGAAGAGCGGGAAGTGCTGGCGGAGGACCTGCCGGGTGAGGCACGCGAGCAGGCGCGAGCACGCCAGGCAAGAGAGAAGGGACGGCACGTCGCGGGACAGACGAAGCTGCTCCAGAACCAAGAGCATGACGTCGTCATGCATCATGAAGAGGAACAGGCTGTAGGCGCAACCGTCACAAATATTGCTCGCGCCGCCGCTGCTCGCGCCGCAATTGCCGGCGCTGCCGGCACCGTCGCTTCCGGCACCGCCGCTGCTGCCAGAAGTTTCGGGCAGTGCGCGGGATGCGCGCAGAACGGCGGGCTCCCGCAGCAGTGCACTCATGGACAATTGGCTGTTGTTGATGACGCTTCATTACCTCAGGTGTGAACAACACGTTGATGGGTCCAGGTGATAGCCCTGATGGGCAATGCATACGCCTACTTGGGCCTCAGATCGCCCGACCGCGTCCCGGTGCTCTGCCGTCGGATTTGTGACTCCGCCGCACCGCGCCGCGGCCGGGGGCCCTCACTCCACACTCAGGAAGGAGGCCGAGGATGGCCGTGGAGGAGGGACGAGCTCTTGGAGGTAAAGTGTCAGTTTATACATTGTAGAGACCAACCTTGTGCACAATATCTCTCAGTCTAGCTAAGGCCTAAGCCAGGGGAGGCGATGCCGGGGCCGTGCAGCAGCTTGATGGTGCTTCGCGCCTTCGCCGGCGTGCGTCCCGGAGCGGTCCCGGACGGGGGGCCCAGGGGAGGAAAATGGAGGACAACGCCGACACCGCTCTGATTCGACAAAGCCTACCGCATGCGCACACCCCACAGAGGCTGGGGTCGAGAGGCGCAACTATTGCCGCTGTCCGATGGCTGTTGTGCCGAACTACGGCGGATGCCCCGAGGTGTACGCCAAGGTGACGAATGATTTCACGCTCGAGCGTGTGACTGGGGAGCAGCGCATGTGTCGTTTGAGCACGTGCACGATTTTCAGCGATTTTCAGCGGGAATATAAAGAATATTTGAGAATATAGGCCCGATTTGGAGCTGTATTCTTGGCATATTCGAGAATATAGACCCTGTTTGGGACAAGAATACGGAAAGAATACGGAAAAAGAATATAGATAGTTCTGGGCGAGAAAAACGTATAAAGGCCAAGCGATTTCTCTCACCCCCGACGGCGAGTTGAGTTGACGAGTCGCGTCGAGAGCATGCGTGCCACCGAGTCGACGCTGCTGGGCAAGCTGGCTTTCAGCAACCGAAGTTTTGCTCGGTATCGGTGTACAAACTAACTGAACAATAACCTAGGCGACGACCCTATTGCGAGGCCCTTTTGTTTGGGCCCAACAAGCCATGTACATGTTGTGGCATGTAGCATGTAGCATGTGCGCATGCATCACGTGTGAGTGAGTGAGTGAGTATTCTTGATACGAAACCACGACGACACACACCAGTCGACTCGCATCGGTTGCCTCCATGAACGGCGGAGCTATTCTCGCGTCCACACCACACCTGGCTCCAACATGGACACGCCCATAGCTGGGGACACTACTAGGTCACGCATGGCATCAGAAGTTTTATCTCTGGGCCCCGAAAGGCATCTCTAGCAGCGTCGTTACGCATGCGCCCTCCCCTCCTGGGCGCATGCGCCTCACGTCTCGCCAGAGCATAAGCCCTTGGTGTGCGACGAGACGAGTTTTTCGCCATCGCAGCGAGCAGCAAGCCACTCGCCGCCCGCACCAGCCGGAGGCATCGCCGCAGCGCTGTCTGCGCCACGGTCCCGCACCCGTCGACGAAGCTCCCCCCGCGGAAGGCCGCGCGTAGCCACGCCTTGTCGATCGAGATGAGCGCGCCTCGGCGCCTGAGGCTCGCCCACCTACTGCCCCTGAGAGTTGGTTGCGAGTGGGATCGGCTCCTCCCCTTGGGATCGAAGCTTCCACGACCTCGCACCCAACATCACAGGCGGGATCAGAGAGAGACTCCGCACCGGACACCGCCCGGGCACAGACCCCCTACCCGTCGTCGGACAATGCCTGGACCCCTCACAGAGCGGCCCACACACAGATCACACGCATCGGCAGATTTCACGCCTGGATCAGGCGTAGACAGCACACACTGGTCACGGTTGCATAGCCCTGCCGGGGGGGGCGAGTTCGCAAGGTTAATATTAAAAGCATACAAAGTGGTGACAACCACTGGGTTCTCAGTGGACGATCTAGCGTCGACCGAACAGAAGAGCGTCCCCACGACGCCTCGGTGCCTCCCACCGGTGTGAAAACCATCCGGATCTACCGGGTTCGCCCTCCGGACGCACCCGTTCCCGCGATGGCCCACTGTCCTCCGTCGCCAGGTTGAACCCCCTCCCCCCCCCAGTCCTCGACTCCTCGTACTCGACCACGATCCCTCTCGACCTCGTACTCGACCGACCTTTCTCCTCATCACTGATCCAGACCCGATCCTCCTCCTCATAGCTTCACCTCATGTCGTTGATCTCTCACCCACCCACACACACACACACACATGCATCACGAACCCTAGCTACGCGGCGGGAAATTCTTCTGCAGCACGTGCGCCCGCTGTGCGCCCTGCTGTGCGCGCCCTGCTGTGTCCCGTCGGTCAGCGAGTCTCACCCGAGTCACCCGAGCTCTCGTCTTAAAATGCGGACGATGGTCATCGGTGACGTCCATGGCTGCCACCGAGAGCTGCAGCAGATGCTCGCCCGGCTCTCGCCCGGGCCGAGTGACAGGGTCGTCTTCGTCGGCGACGTGATCTCCAAAGGTCCCGACCCAGTTGCGTCGCTGCGGCTTGCGCGCAACACTGTGGCTGCAGCCGCAGCGGGCAGCGAGATACTCGTCGGCAACCACGAGCGTAACCTGCTCACGTGGCTGAAACAGCGAGATCAGGGCGTGCCCGCTGGAAAACGCTCTGGCTCTGGCGAGGGCAACAGAATGACGGGCGAGCAGCTGACGCGCGGCGAGGTGGAGTGGCTGCGCGGCCGGCCCGACCGATTGGCGCTGCCGGAGCATAACGCCATCGTCGCGCACGCAGGGCTGCGCGCGGGCGTCCCGCTCGCACAGCAGCAGCATGCCGACCTGACGGCGATGCGGAGCCTCGATGCCGCCGGCCTGCCTTCGCCAACGGCCGGGGCCGTCTCGTGGGCGGCGAGCTGGCGCGGGCCGACGCACGTCATCTTTGGGCACGACTCGCGCCGCCGGCTGCAGCTCCACCCCTTCGCCACCGGCATCGACACGGGGTGCGTGTACGGAGGCCAGCTCACGGCGCTCGTCCTGCCAGAGGGCTCGCGCAGCCGCGGGGACTGGAGGCTCGTGGCCGTGAACGCAACCACAACCTGGTGCTACGCCGGCAGCAGCGGCGGAACTGCCGCCATCTCGCGCTCGCCAAACTGCCGCCGCAGCCAGCGCCCTGCCGGCAGCAATAAGGAGGAGCGGCATCAGAAGCGAGAGGAGGGTAAGCGGGAGAAGCACCGCAGGCGAGACGAGGCGAAGAAGGCCCGGCGAGAGAGGCGCCGACAGGGAGGCGACGGAACCGTCGACAAGTGAGAGGCAGAGGAGATAGCGCGCGCAGACGAAAGAGACCGCGCAGGAGGCAGACTTACGAGGAACGTTGACCGAGAGCTCAGCGATCTCGACTCGGTAAAGGGCAACACGACACAGTTACGGAGAGAACTTCGGAGATTGCAGCACAGCGTACGATCTTATACGTACCAAACGTACGGTTCTCTGGTTTGTACGGTACGTATGTATGTGTCAGGGGGCACAGCGACACACACACTACCCCACGCGCCCTACGTACAGTGAGCTTTTGGTAATACCGATTTTCGTTTTTTTCAAATATCAAAATGAACCTGAACGGGTGCACTGAGTCTGAGAGGATGGTCACTCCACCCTGTCCGTGACTACCGTAATATGCTAATATCCTCACACTGTGTAACGTCGTGGCCAAGAGTTGTGCTCGCTGAGCCGGTCGCCGGCGGCAAAAGCCACCGGTCTGCAGGGAAGTTGTGCTGGTCGCTGACGGCGCGCCGCGTGGAGTAGGTCACGTAAGCCACCGGCCTCGGCTCGGCGGTGCAGTTTGCCCTCCCGCGGTGTAGCACGCGGTAGTCGAAGAGCAGCAGCTCGCCCGGCAGCAGGTGCGGCGCCGCAAAGCAGCAATCCTCCGCGAGCTGCTCCTCGCAAGCGCCCGCGTGGTGGGAGCCGGCCGCCAGCTCGGTCGGCCCGTTGGCGGCGTCCACCCGCACGAGCGGCGCGAAGCAGTTGACCAGCCCGCGTGCGGTGCCGTCGGGGTGGAGGTGCTGCTCTGGCGCGCCGGGCAGCGCGGTGACGCACCCGGCGCCGTCGACGCGCACGCCGCTCGGGCCGTCCTCGGCGAGCTGCGACCTCTCGAGGACGGGACGCACCCAGCGGTCGACTGCGCGCAGGAGCGGCGACCACGCCTCCGCCTCGCTGCCCTCCGTCGGTAGGCGCATGTCCGGCCGGCGGCCGCCGGCTGTCCGGGCGCACACCTCGCCAAAGGTGAAGCGGTCCCTCCTCGGATCGACGCCGCGACCTCGCAAGAGCGCGAAGAGTCGCGCCAGCTGCGCCGCGGCGATTCGGCGGCACTCCTCGCACGTCGCCGCATCGATGAGCGGCTCCGCCGTCGAGGCTCGGAGGACGACAAAGCCGTTCTCCTGCAAGCTCAGGGCGGCCGCGTCGGCCCACGCCACCTCGCTGCACTCCTCGCACGCCACCTCGCACGCCACTGTCCTCTTCGGGTGCGGCGTAGCAACTGGCTCTGGGCAAGCGGCAGAAGAAGGCGGTCCATCCGGCAGCCCATCCTCAGACGGTCCAGGCATGCAGAACTCCTCGAGGAAATCGCAGAGCGCGTCCGGCATGCAGTCGGGAGCCGCCATGTGGAAGAAATCGACACCAGGCGCAGCTGCGAACGAAGTGTGGAAGAGCCGGCGCGCGCCCCCCCCCCCCAGGGCTCGAAAAGAATTTACACCTTTCCTTGATGTCACTCCAAAAGAATTCTGGGCGGCAAAAAGACAAAGCGGACTTTCAGTCCAAGCGCTCCAAGTGCGGGGATATAAACTACACACACAAGGGCACCGAATCACAGCACCGAGAATTTCGTCAGCTCTCTCAAGGTGCGCTCGAGCTCGAGCTCGCGTGCGCTGCGCCGGATGATGCCGCCCCCCCCACCGCCGGCGGTTGGCGGCGGAGCCTCTGCGACGGCGCTGGGCGGCTCGGGCGCATAGTCCGGAGACCGCGCCCGCCGCGCATCCCGCCCGTGGCCGGGAGGCTGCTCGATGCGGAGCACCCGCTCATCTGCAGACCCCGCAGCGCCACCCCCCCCGTTGGTCCATGCGAGCGGGCGCGGGCTCGGCTCGCGCGCCGAGAAGGAGGGGGGCGGGCCGGGCTTGGTCAGGGAGAAACTCGTCAGCTGCCGCAGCTCCTGTCGGGTGGGGTTCCACGGGGGTGGGCTATGGGTCGCAGTGAGGAGGAAACTCCCCAGAAGGCCACCTTCTCGAGGACAAGCTCGCGCTCAGAGCGTCGAGCCGCGGTCGGCGCCGCCGTCTTGGCGCCCGCAGACAGAGCGCCGCTCGCCCCACTGCGGAGATGCATCACGCCTGAGGATGTGACGTGGACGTGTCGGGACGCGTGCGCTTGCAGTGGGAGCGGCGCTGGTGCGCCGTGCCGTTGGGCGTCGCGAGCGGCGCCGTGCTCGCATTCTCCTTCAGAGAGGCGGGGCTCGCGCCTATGGACGCGTCTCGAGCGTCTTGGTCATGCGAAGGCCGTCTTGTCTTCCTCAGAGAGGGCATGTCTCGCGCCCAAGGGGCTGCTGACAACGCCGCCGCCGTCGAGGAGGCTGGTGGCGGTGGCGGTGGCGGCGGCGGCGGCGGCGGAGGCAGTGGCGCCATGGCCAGCTGTGAGTTGCAAGTCGCGCACCCACCGCTCGAGGTCGGGGTCGAGTCCGGCAGCGGGCGAACGCGACGCTCGCGGCTGCTTGACACGCGAGTGCGGCGGCCGCGCCGCTGCCGTGCGCAGAGGTGTGCCACCGTGCACGCCGCTCGCGGCATCGGCGGCCGCGAGGCGCGCGAGCACCGCATCGAGTTGGCGCGCCTATGGGCCGTCAAGATCTCAGTCGGATCTCGCCCACACCTTGCGAGTGCCGCGTAGAGCTGGCGCGCCGCCTCGTGCCCATGCCCATTGCCAATCAGCCCGCGATCAGAAGCGTAGCTTCCGCCAGAGGCGTGGGCCGTATGAGGCCGCGCGGGTGCAGGCGGTTGCGCCGCCGGGGCGCCCCACGCTTGGTTGGACAAGTCGCAGAAGGCCACCGGCGCGCGAAAGGACGCGGCGGCAGCCGAGTCGGGTGAGAGGGACGAATTGGCGAGGCTCGACGGAGGCTCCGCCGGGGCGGGCACGCCCCCCCAGCTGGGCGGCCAAGCGCGCGAAGGGAGCTCGTCGCTGACCTCCCGCTCGCGCAGCGGCTCCGGCTCGTGCCTCTCGCCGCCGCGCTCGCCCCTTTCTCCCTCGCCCCTCTCGCCCTCGCCCCTCGGCTTGACGGGGGTCGGGTGGTACTGCCGCGGAGAGGAGTCCGGAGTCCTTTCGCCGAACCCCCGCCGGGGCGCCTCATCGGTGCAGGGTGTCCACGCTTCGAAGTGGTGCGCCCTTGGCTCGGCCGCAGCGTGCTGCAAAGACGAGGCATGCTGCTCGTCGCCGTCGGTGGCGCGCGAGGCGAGGCGCGTGTTGGCGTGGGTGAGCTTGTGCGTGAGGAATTCAACCTGTGGAAGTCGCATCAGGGGTCGCATCTTCGGCTCTTTTGGGTGCCCTTGGTGAGCTCAGGTTATCTCTCGAGGGTGATGCGTGAGAGCCGGCACCTGCTGCTTGAGCTCGAGCACCTCCGCCTTGAGCTTCGCGATGAGCTGCTGCTGCGGGTCGAGCTTGACCACGGGCCGGTTGCGGATCGCTCCTATGAGATGCACACGACGCGCATGGGGTCGCCCTATTTCGCGCTCTCGACCACCGGCCGGCTGTGGCTCGCGCCGGCCGAGCACGCGTAGTGCAGCGTTCTGACAGTCTCGTCGAGGTACGCGGCGAGCGGTGAGACGGTGGCGATCATGAGGGTGTGCGCGCTGCCGCCGAGCGAGTCGGCGAGCAGCTTGGTGAGGACAGAGTCGCGGTACGGCACGTGCGGCGGGCCACGGCCCGGGCCGAGCGAGAGCGACTTGATGACCTGGGCGAGCGCGAAGAGCGAGCGGTTGATGGCGCCCGCCTCCTTGAGGCCGCCGCCGCTCGACTGCGACGCGCGGACGTTCTCCGAGCCGGCGAGGTCGAGGAGCGAGAGGCGGCCGTACCGGCCGGGCGGCGCCTCGGCCGAGTCGGCCACGTCGAGGTAGACGGAGAGCACCGCGTGCGAGCGGGACGAGTGCTGGTTGAGCAGGTGGTGGCGCGAGTGGCGGTGGGCGAGCCCCTGCGAGGGCGGCGGCAAAATCCACCATCAGGCAGTGATGTGGTCCAGAGATGGGGCGCCTCGTGAGTGTCTGGAGAGCCGTCTAGCAGGTGTCTTGGACATGTCGAGCGCAGGTGTTGGAAGTGTCTGGGAGCACATCTCTCGGCAAGCAGTCACCTGTGAGATGACATACTCGAGGTCGTGCAGCCCGCGGCACTCAGCAGATCTGACGACGGCAGAGGGAAGAGGGGCATCAGAGAAGTGCAATAGGGGGGAAGGCGAGAGAGCCCAGGGCGCGCCTTCCAGCCCGGCCTGGTGCCGATATTGTCGGAGAACCACTCGATGACGCCGTCCTCCGCCACCACGCCATTCGGCCCCGAGGTGCTGCAGTAATTCACGCCGTTGACGGTGAGGTAGTCCCAGCGGCAGCTGCTGTCCGCCTCTACATCAAAGGCGACCGTCTCGAGCCCGACCGGCGGCACGCCAATGATGCTGCACTCCTCGTCGTTGCCGTAGCTGTTCGGGTAGTTTGGCGACGTGGCGCACGAGCCTCCGTCGGTGAGCGAGCATGGGCCGGTGAGCTGGAGCGGTGCCCGTGGCGGCTGGGGAGGCAACGGTGGCGTCTGCGGGGGCGACGGCGATGAAGGCGATGTTGGCGGCGAAGGCGGTGTAGGCGGTGGCGAAGGGGGTAGCGGGGGCGGGGGCGAACACTCGACCAACCAACTGGTCTCCCCACTTGGCGAGCTGTAGAGCGTCGTGCCCGCACGGCCCGTGTAGCGCGAGTTGTATGGCTCGTACGTGATGCCGTTACAGCCGTCCTGCGCACCCACGAAAACGGCTGCTTCATCCCAAGTCACCGCGGTCACCATCGGGGAGCAATAACCGTTGAGGTACATGTCCCCGTGGGGCCCGGTGAGCGGGCAGCCGGGTGGCAGCTGCGGCGGTGACGGCGGCGACGAAGGTGGTGGCGGTAGCTGCGGCGGTGATGGCGGTGGGGAGGGCGGCGCAAACGGCACCACAAAGGACTTCCTCTCCTCAGGCCCAGAGGTAACGGTGAAGCCCTCCTGCCCGAGGCCTGACCAGTTAGCGCCGTTCCAGCCGTCGCCGTATGAATCGTACATGTGGAGCTCGCACTCGACGCCGGGCGAGAGGGAGACGCCGTACTCGGTCTGGAAGTCTGGGCAGAGCCCACACTGGTCTGAGCCGGTGTAGGGCGCCGACGAGAGGACGACTTCGCCGCCGCACCGGAAGTCCCAGCTCACCTCGCTAGGCCACGATCCCGGCGTCGTGGTGACGGTGTAGTATGCGAGCGGGTGCGAGGGCGGAGACGGAGGCAGCAGCGCCGACGACGGCTCTTGGCAGTTAGGGCAAGGTTCGGGAGACGGCGACGGCGACGGCTCGGGATTGCAGTAGAACCAGGCGACGCCATTATTGTCCAGTGCCACGCTTGGCACGTCCCCTTCGCCCCTGTCAGTCGACTCGTAGGAGTAGCTCATGTAGCTGTGGTCGACGGCGGGAGTGGAGGAATCGCAGGGGTAGCGCTCCGCCACGCACCACGGCCGCTCGTCGGGGTTCTCACAGGACACGTCCGGGCAGCCGTACTGTGTGCCTCCACAGCTAGGGTCGGACCAAACGCTAGCGCACGCACAGAACCGTGGCGGCTGGGGTGACAGCGGCGGTGAAGGCAGCATTGGTGGCGGCGAAGGCGGTGGAGTTGGTGCCATTTGAGGCGGGTACGGCGACGGCGATGCGACGGAGCAATCAATGCCACCAGAACCAATGCACTCTTCAGCGCTCGGTGGTCCTGCAGATCCGGTAGGATCGTAGGGATAGCATCCCGATGGGGCACCGACGCACGCAACGCACCTGCACGCGACGCATTCGCCACATGCACTCTGATTGGCCACCCCGCCCCCACACACGCAGCACTTATCGTTGGCCGTGCCCTCGCCGTTGTAATCAGCGTTGCCATAGGCGTCGCACCAGCCGGCATTTGAGTAAGCGGCACACCCGTTGGAGCCGTCGAACCAAGTATCCCCAGATGATGCACCCGGGAGATCCGTGCATGTTGGCGATGGCGTGCTGCCATGCACCCTGCCGACGAGCAGCGCGGCGGTGGCCAAGCGGACTTGTGTGACGGATGCTTCGAGCGAGGCGACTCGCGAACGCCCGAGCAGCAAGGATCCCGCGCAGACGAGGCCCGTCTCGACCAAGCCGAGGCCCGTCTCGACCAGCTTTCGGAGCTGCCCAGCACCGCCGGCGGTCCACGACTCGGGCACGTTCACGGGCATGATCTCGGCCAGCTTGGTCGGGTGGTGCCCCTTCGCCACCTCGGTCGTTGGCGCCTCGGGTTCGAACACTGGGTGCCCGTCCGCCGTGGCGGGTTGGCAGGTGCCCACCTGGGCGGCACGGGAGCAGCGCTCAGACAGGAGAGGCTCAGACAGCAGACGGGCGGGCGGCGCGGGAGATGGGGAGGGCCAGAGAGGCGAAGGTTTGAGTGCGTGATGCAGCAGCGTGGCGGGTGCAGTGCGGGTCGAGCACCTGACTCGCCCGCTCCAGCTCTCCCCTTTCGACCTCGAGCAGCGAGGAGTCGGTGAAGTGGAAGGAGGCGGGCCGCCAGTCGGCAAAGTCACAGAAGAGATCAGTCGACTCGGCTGTCTTCGATTCGGCGACCTGGGTGGAGCGGACCTCCGTGGGCCACGCTGAGTTTCTCGGCGAGGAGCCGAGGGACTGGTCGATGGCCCCTTCACTCTGGAGGAGCAGGCAGTGCCGCTTTGCTCCGCCCGCACGCCCGCCGAGCGCCGCCTTGGTCCTTGACGCATCGAGCGGGCCGAGGACGCCGATGGTCGACGCCTCAAGGGTCTTGCGAGGGATGCTCGCCGTAGCCGGCGGCGCCTCGTGCTTCACAAATTCCTGCTCTGGGACTCGAGAAGTGGTTGCCAATCTCTCGATCGCCCGCCACTCGCCGCCGGCGCGCACGCAAGAGACAAGAGGAAGAGAGAGGTCGACGAAGGCTATCGGGCACGAGATGCTCGACCGGTGTGCAGCACCAGAGACGAGGACGACGATTGCCAAGGTCATTCAGGAAGAGACGCTCTCAAAGCGCCTCGTCGGGCCGTCACAGGATGGCGTGCCACATCCGTCCGCTGGGTTTTCTCTTGCACGTAAATTTGCTTTGATGGTGACGGCGGCGCTAATCAAAGCGAAAAAGCGAGCTGGTAAACAGCGTGTCAAGTTACAGACAGCGTATCAAGTTTTGATAGATTAAAACAAAAACACAACAGCACTCAAGGAAAGCGAAAAGAAAGTCGGACTGGACACTGGCGCGGTATGGGTGGACGCTGGACTCCGCAACTTCACAACTCCACTGTCAATAAAAGAAACCGCGGTGACGGCCTGGCGGGGCCATCCCCGAGCACGGACAGCGAAGAAGCCCACGACGCCGCGCACGCCCCGTCCCTACCATGTGTGCGGCCTACACGTGCCGCACCTCGCCCGACTGGCGTGGCTCGCATCTCGTCGCGAGCTGCCACATCCCAGCTGGCGCGGTGCTGCTGACCGAGGCGCCAGCCGCCACGACGTGTGGAGATGACGAGTCGGAGTCGGTCGAGGCCGCCCTGGCTAAAGCGCTGCTGGAGAGCGGCCGCGGCTCAGACTGGGCAGCGCGCTTCGCAGCGCCGCAGCAGCGCGGTGGAGCGACCGAGCACGCCGCAGCAGCGCCGCCGATCAGCGACGAGGCGTTGCGACGGCTCTGCGCCAGCGGCGTCGACGAGGTGGCAGCGCTGGCGGTGTACGATGCCGTGCGACACAACGCCTTTGGCCTCGAGACGCCCCTCCTCGGCGTCGAGCACGGCGCGGCCTTCTACGAGACGGCGGCGAAGCTCAACCACAGCTGCGACCCAAACTGCCTGTCCACCCGGCTCGGAGGCAACTTTGCGCTGTTTGCGGTTGCCGCCATCGAGGAGGGGAGCGAGCTCTTTCACTCGTACCTGCCTCCCCGCCTGCTGGTTCTGCCGCGGCGCGCTCGCCGGGCCCACCTCCACTTTCCGTGCCGCTGCAGCCGCTGCGAGGCGGAGCCCGAGGAGCCGCCGTCACCGCTCGCGCAGCTAGGCTGGCCAGCCGCGCACGCCGCCACGGCGGAGGGGCACTTGGTCGGCCGGTTCAGCCTCCTGTGCGCCGGGGGTGCGCCGCGGGAGGTTGTGGCTGCGGGCGCCGGCCTCCTTTCCAACGCGCCGCTCGTGAGCACGCTGCGGCAGCGGCCGCTGGCGGCGCTGCAGGTCTGCTTGCCGCTGCTCGCGAGCAGCTGGCAGGCGCGTGCGATGGGTGGTGCCGACGCCGCCGCCGACGACGAGGGAGGCTGGTGCGTCTCTCTCGCCTCCGACCTCGCCGCTGCCGCAGTCGAAGCGCTCGCCGCCGCCGCCGCCGCCGCCGCCACGCCCGCCGCACCGCTCGCACTTCTCCGCTCCAACGCCGCCATCGGCCGCTTCCTCCTGTCGCAGCGGCCGCGGCGAGAGACGGCGCCCGCGCTGCGCGACAGAGTGGTTCCGCCGCGTGCCGTTGCGCGTCATTTGGGATGGACGACTCCTCGCTAGGTGCCTGCGCTGCTCGACAGCCTCGCCTCGCTCGCCTCTGTCTCGGCGCTGCCGCTCGGCGCGTGGCTGAGGGACGACGCGGCCTTCCTCGGTGGCGGCGATGCGGCGCGCGCGCTGTGCGCGGCGGCAGAGGCGGTCGCCACCGAGGCGGCCGAGGCGGCGGCGGAGGCGGGCGGTCCGTTGCGTTCGTCGGAGCTGCTCCGCCGCCCTCGGATCGCCGCCCTCGGGCTGCTGCGCGAGCCTTGCGCTTGGGCGGGGTGTGCTGGGAGAAGGCTGGGCGGCTTTGGCGGCGGCGGGCGCGACGCGGCGCCTCCAGCTTGCCTCCGCTGCTCCCGGTGCAAGGGCGTGCTCTACTGCAGCGCTGTGTGCCAGCGGGCGGACTGGCCGTCGCACCGCAACCATTGCACGCCGGTCGCCGCGGTTTCTGGCAGCGACGCTGCCGCCGCCGGCATCAGCCGCTTGTCAGTCGCCGGTGGGGGCGGGCGGCGTGCGGAGCTGGCCGCTGCGAGCGGCGGCGGCGGCGACGGCGGCGACGACGACGACGAGGACGAGGACGAGGAGGAGGTGCCCATCCGGCGGGTGGCCGACACGCAGGAGAGCGAGGACGACGGTGGCGAGGACGACGAGGTGGACGTCCCAATCCGGAGGGTGGGGGCGGGAGGTGGCGCGGACACAGAGACGTTAGAGCAGTCGTGGGAGCGGATGCAGGCTTCGGTCGCGTCAGGCCGAGCGCAACGTCTCGACGTCCAGTACGAAGTGCTTCAACGCTAGCCCTGGTACCTCTACCTGGGAGTGGTGTGAAGAATAAATACGGTAGGCGCGAAAGACCTCAGAATCGCAAAGTCGCCCAGGAACCGGTCCGCCGCGCCAGCCCCGTGCCCAAAAAAAACGGTTGAGTTTTCAAAGGCAAAAACGCCGGCGTACGCCCTCCCCTCACACTGACACTTCTCCCCTATTCCCAACTTTAGGTTGCGCACGTCTCCCAGCGAGCTAGGATCTCCGCTTTTTCTCCCCTAGTCTGTAGTCATCCGCCCGCGCCGCGCGCCTCAGTGCACTATGGGGGCGTCTAGTGCAGCCACTGACAGATTTCCTTTAGCGCCGTTTAGCGGATTACGGATTACACATGGACGCCGGCCCCTGGTAAAAAAGCAGCGAAAAATGCATCGGCTACACACCTATACTTCGGCTGCCTCACCCGCGCCGAGTTCCGTGACGCGCAACTTGCAACCGACCAAATGGTGGTCGCTTTCGAACAGCATGCAGGGACGGGAGCCGCAATCGGAGAACCGCGCCAGATCCACACGCGAGATCAGGATGTGGTCGTTCATGTGCCCGTTGGACGAACGTGGGTCGATCCAGGTGGCGTAGTGCTTCTTGGGGTAGAAAGTGGCGAGCGACGCCAGCTGCAGGGGAACGACAATCGTACGAGTGACGGAGATAGCAGGCGCGTGAGGCGAGGGGCCAGGCTGGGGCGCTGAGGCACGCAACGCGCGGCCGGACCTCGTGGGTGTCCATGAAGCCCAGCAGACGACGGCCAGAAGGGCTAATGTAGTCGATGCCAAACGGGCCGACGCATCTCGTCGGCGCAGAGGGCAGAGGCGGGAAGTTGGTGGGCTGCGAGTCGAGAGTTGCCGCGAGATCTAGGGACGGTCCGGACGGCTCGGGCGGCTCGAGCTCAACGCGCGCGTCGTCGCCGTATTTCGCGACGAGTCTTGCCACGGCCGCCTCTCGCCGTTCCTGTGCACATGGGGCTGCCGTCACAGGGGTGGTTGCGGGCATGGGGCTGCCGTCACAGGGGTGGTTGCGGGCATGGGGCTGCCGTCACAGGGGTGGTTGCGGGCAAGGGCTGCGAGCGCGCGCTGTCAGAGGAGTGACCTACGCTACGCTACACAGCCTTCAAGAGCATCTTCTCCCCGGCGCCTCTCGGCCACATCTCGGCCATATCTCGGCTGCATTTCGCCTCTCGCGCGGCCGCTTCCCGCTCCTGCGTGGAGCTGGTGCCGACGGCGGCGTTCGCCGAGGCGCCGAGCACCAGCACATCTCCCGGCTGCTTGCGAGAGATGGCCGTGGCGAGCGCGGCGTAGAACGCGTCCCACTCCTCGGTGTGGGGGTCCTTGGAGGAGGGCGCCTGCGCCGAGACGAGGAAGACACCGAGACGCGAGCCGGTCAAGGAGTCCACCACGGCGAGCCGCAGAGCCAGCACTCTCGCGCCAAGGTCGTGATGCCGTTCTTCGCCGGCGGTGAGCCACGCCTCGTGCGCCGAGGGGCTAAGCACAACGGCCACGCCCTGCTGATTGAAGATCATCCTCTGGTCTCGCTTCTGGCGAGCTGCGGCGCGCCTCGCCTTGCGTTGCTCCTTCCGCTCTGCTTCACTCTCCGGCGAGAGCGCCCCTGCCGTGGCAGCCTCTTCGTCCGATCGCGGCAGTGCCGCAGGCTCTTCCTCCTGCCGCGGCGCTTCTGCTGCCGTGCCGATGATCCACGACCCGTCCGGGAAGCGCTCAACGTGGAAAGGCCTCGTGCCCTGCAAGCACGTTGCGAAGCCGCGCCGCGCGTGCAGCAGCGCCACTGCTCCAGCCAGCTCGAAGTCTTTCGAGAGGCCTTGTTTAGCGCGTGCGGTGTGTGGGCATTCGCCAAAGCCCTTGGAGCAGTGCTGCGAGAAGAACGAACGAACCTCAAGGCGCAGGGATCGACTGTCCGTGTCGGCGCTTGGGCGCAACGCTCTATTCAGCAGAGCCGGAGCCACTCTGGCTGCTGGACGCGTGTCGAGCCACGCCGACGGCGGCGGCGGCAGTGATTTGTCTTCTGGGGCGCGCAAGGCGCTGGCGTAGTGCATGTGTTGTTCGCGTTTGCCTCGACCCGCCTGGCGCGGCGCCGTGGGGCAGGCGGCGATAGACGGCTGCACGCCTCCCCACGCCTCCGCTGCCGTCCAGAGCTGCCCCAGGCGTGCCTCCGAGCCACACGGGTCGGCTGGCGGCATGATATCGCATTCTTTTCTGACTCCTTCGATGTGAAAACAAACGCAAGGCGGACACAAGCACATCGCTCTCTCCGTCCCACACACATCCCGCACACCCGCCGCACACCCGCCGCCCCCGCGCGCGCCCCACCCCGGCCGGGAGAGAGGGGAGTGACAGTTTGGGATGGCAACAGAACGAGTATCTTACTTACTTATGTTGAGTCCTGGCTCAACAACGCAGAGAGAAATGAAAGCCGTCCGGCTCACAAGTCCGGCTCACGCGCCCCGACTGACCGATCAACCGCACTGATCACTTCCGCCCCCTTGCTCCCAACCCATCCACCTCGCCTCGGGCCGCGCCGCGCGATCTCGGGCGATCTCGCGCAATCTCGGGCGATCTCGGGGCCGCGCCGCGCTATCTCGGGCGATCTCGGAGCGTCGCTCGCGCGGCGGCACACCTGCTCAAAAAAGGAAGGAGGTTGGAGGCAGGAGGTCACGCCCCATCCAGAGCGCCGTCGTCGCCGGGTTTTTGGCCCCAGAGCCAGAACGACGCGCTCTTCTCCGTGACGACGCCGATGTGCGGCAGCTTCTCGCGGCCCTCGACAAAGATGATGTCCTTGTGCTCCTTCTCCTCCGCCTTGAGCTCGTCCCACTCGGGCGGAGGCCGCTGCGTGTTGTTGAAAAAGGTGGTGCCCAGCACAAACCGCACGTCCACGTTGGCTGCGTGCTGGAAGTGGCCGGCCCACTTGCGCTGCTGGGCGCGCATTGAAGGCTTGACGGGGTTGGACATGACGCCGAGAAGAACGCGAGGAGGTGGGTCGGGACCCAAAAGAAAATAGCTTTCCGGCTCAAAAAGGGACGCACGAGGCAAATCTGATGTTGGAGTGTGTTCCAATAGGAGCGAGGCCTCTCCCGTTGGGGGACCGAGTGAATAGGAAACGAGTTTTTCCCATTGTGTCCCCTTCGCGTGCGAGCGTGACACTGCACTTGGCGCCGAGCGCCCGCGGCTCAGACCTTGTGCAAGCCGACCCTCGGTGGGCACGCCGGTCCGGACCGATGGCGCTCGGTGTGGAGCAAGCAAGACCCCCCCCGCCCCCCCATTGGCGCGCGCCCGACCTTTGAACGGCCGCCAGGAGCACCAAGAGGACTCCTCATGGCTGTGCCCAAGTGGGCTTCGACCGGCCTCGGCTGGGGGGGCGGGTTGTCCCGGGTTGTCCCGGTTGCGGACGCCTTCTGCAGCCCCCTGGGATGGGGACAGCACCCCAAAACTGCCCCTCGGCGGCATACAGCACTGCCAGCCAGCCTCTTCCTCCTCCTCAAGGGCTGTACTATAGGCCATATTGCGCCGCCTCCTACTGGCAGCCGGGCGGGCGCGCGCCGCGCGCGCCTCGGCGCGCGCACAGCTCGCAAAGCTCGAACGAGTACTGCCGCCTGGCCGCCTCTCAAGGCTGCCGGGCGGCAGTACTCGCCTCGCAAGGCGCGCACCGGCTGCTCTGGCTGCTGCGCCGGCGGCCGCTGCGCTGGCCGCTGCTGCGCTGGCCGGCGAGCGGTACGACCGCCGGCGGCCGCTGCACCCGCGCCTTCCCTCGCGGGCGCCGTCGCGCCGCGCGCGCCCAAGTCTGCTGGTACACGGCACGCGTCGTCACACAGCCGCGGAGAACAGGCGGTGCAGCGCGCGAAGCGCGCGCGATCTCGTACTGTTAAGGCTGGATCCGGCCATTCCAAGGGTATACCTTTGAGAATACCCCGCGTCACACCCTCCTAGTCACACTCTCAATTTCTCGACTCGCCAACACGAAGTGCTGCGATCGGGGTGCGCCCATTTCTTTTTTCCTTTCTTTTTTTGGGCCCTGTGGGCACCCTAACTATTTGTCTCTGAGGACTGTGTGCTCACACACATGCCCGCACAACGAAGAACTCACATCGACACCTCGCAACCGGCCAACCTCTACGTGTTAGGTTAGGTAGAAAGGTGAAGAACAGTCTGGCTCGGACTGGACACCAACTCGGTAAGGGCCTCTCTGCTAAATTGACTGCTTCTCTCCGGAGAGAGGACAGCGCCGAAGCCGAACAAAGTGTACAGTGGGCATCGAGAGTGCTCGGTTCAACCGACCGACCCGAGACCCGGGCCGGGCAAGGGAGAGAATCAACCGGGGCCTAGAGCTGCCCGCAGATTTGTGTGGCAACAGAGTGCAATCGCCGCGGCGCTCGAGGGGAGGGGGGGCGGGGGGAGGAGCCAGCGCCGCCTCCAAGGAATCCAGAGCCGGAGCTCCAGCGCGCTCGCCTGACGCCTCGCTCCTACGTGCTGCTGCTGGCCAGGGCAACCTCCCGGAGAGCCCCCAGCTCCGCCGTGAGCGTAACCATCTCCTCCTGGCTCGACAGCGAAGACGGGATCGTATCGATCGACGAGGGGGGCGAAGCTACGATTCACTGCCCTGGTTGCTGGCCATGATGCCGCCCGAGCACACTCCGAGCTGGTGCGAGCGCCGCCGGCGCCGCTCCGCCACGGCGAGCGGCGCTCCGCTGTTGTCGTTGGGCGGCGGCGGCTCCTCCTTGAGGACCGGATTGCCGAGCGGGCACTCGAGCCACTCGCGGTCGGAGGGGGAGAGGGTCGACTCGAGCGAAGCCACCTGCGACTCGAGGTGCAGCGCACGCGGGCGGCTGGCGATGTCCTCGGCCCAGCAGCTCTCGACGAGGTCGCGAAGCAGCGTGGGCGTGCCAGCGGGGAGGCGGGGCCGCTTTCCCTGCAGGCCGATAGAGACGGCGGCCTGCAGCGCCGAGCGGTCGGAGAAGGGGACGGTGTGTGTGATGAGCTCGAAGAGGATCATGGCGTACGAAAAGACGTCCGCGCTCTTGGAGTAGGCCTCGTGCATCACGATCTCGGGCGCCATCCAGCGGTAGCTGCCTGCAGGTGCAGGATCGGGGACGGGGGGGTGGATGTGCGTACCGTTGCGGGAAGCGCCCTCTCGCCGTCCACCGCGCGCGCCTGTCTCTGGCGTGAGCACCTCGCGCCCCAAGCAGTGAGTGCGGGTCAAGCCTGTCGGCTGCACGTCGGCGGCGAGGCCGAAGTCGGCGATCTTGACGCCGTGCTCGCCGTGCAGCAGCACGTTTGGCGACTTGAGGTCGCGGTGCATCACTCCGTTGGCGTGCAGGAAGGTGAGGCCGGTGGCGACGCCCGAGGCGACGCGGAAGAAGAAGCGGCGCGGCGTCGGCCGCTGCAGCGCCTGCTGCAGGTCGCCGCCGTCGCAGTACTCGAGGATGACGCAGCGCGTGAGCCGCTCCTCCACCGCGCCGAGGAGCCGGACCACGTTGGGGTGGCCTGGCTGCGAAAGCCCCGCCAGCATGCCGACCTCGACGTTCCAGCTCGCGCAGGCGTCCTCTCGCCCGCTGGCAACCTTGGCCGCCACCACCTCCCCCCGCCACTCGGCGAGGTAGGTGGAGCCGCCCAAGCCGCTCCCCAGCCGGCCGCGGAAGACGAGGTCGTCGAGGGCGGCGCGAGTCACCTGCGGCTCGGAGCTCGACAGGGAGCCTCCGCACGCGCCCGTGGCGTCGCCCGCCGCCACCAGCGCGGGCGCGCGCCCGCGCTTCGCGAGCTCGGGAGCCTGGGGGCGCCCCGAGGGCGAGCACGCCCGCGCACCCTCCGAGTCGCCGAGCCGCAGCAGGAGGAGCTCCTTGATCTGGTCGCCCGAGAGCGCGTGCAGGTCCTCCTGCAGCAAGCCGTCTCCACGCACGCCCCCGAGGAGGGCCAGGGCAGCGCCCGCGACATCCTCCTGCGACAGCGCCGCGGTGCCGCCCGCACCTTGGGTGGTCGGGGTCGTCTGGCAGGCAGCTGGCGGTGACGAGGCGTGAGCCCGGCGGGGGGGCGTCGGCGAGCCCTGCCAGGAGTGCGGCGGCGAGCTGCGCGGCGAGCTGGGCGAGGAGGCGTAGTTGTGCAGCATGACCTGCAGCTGCTCGATCTTTGCGATGTGCGACGTGATGAGCCGCCACAGGCGCGGCGGGATGAGGCCCGCCTTGCGGACGGTGCACACGTCGAGCGACTCCTCGAGCTTTGCGAGCAGCGAGCGCAGCTCCGGGTCCATCTCGACGGCAGCGCCGAGGAGCTCGAGCATGCGGGGCGGGGCGAGGGCTCGCAGCTCCTCTGTCCGCGCCCGCTGCTCGCGCAAGCTGAAGAGCAGGTCGGTGGTGGCGCGCGCGGGGAGCCCCTCCAGCCCCGCTCTGGGCAGTGCGAGGGCGCCGCACAGCCAGGCCCGCATCTCGCCGAGGCAGTTCTTGAGCAGGTCGAAGCAGCGCATGGCCTGCCAGTCGGGCCTCGTCGAGGCCGACGAGGAGGCGTGGCACTCCTCGAGCGCCTGCTTGACCACCGAGTTGTACTCGCCGAAGGCCCTGTAGAAGGCCTCCGCCGCAGAGCGCGACGCCCGCTCGAGCGCGGCGAGGGCGGCTTCCGTGGGCTGACCTCCCTCGGAGGCGGAGGCGTCGAGCTGGGCGAGGCCGAGGGCGAGCTCGTTTTTCACGCTGACGAGCATCTCGTCGCAGCGGCGGCGCACGGCGTTGACCTCAGCAAATGTGCCCGGAGGGAAAGTCGAGCTGTGGGCGTTGACGGCCGAGCGTGCTTGAGACACGGCCTTTGCATACTTTTGGTGCTGCCCCGCGCTCGAGAGATTTATGCACGTGCTACCGCGCTCATGCTGGAGAAATGTGAGCACCGGCGGCTCCAAATAGGTGTTTGAAGAGCGTGCGCCAAACATCGAGAGCGCTCTCGCTCGGTGGCGGGTGGCTCCAGCGGCTCCACGCTCGCGGACAGCGCTTGGCCTGCCGCAAGAGGGGCGAGAGGTCGATTTTTGGTGGACTAGGGGCGGCCTGGCGTGCGCTGGGAGCACCTCAGTGCTTTTGAGTGTGCTCGGCCTCGAACCGAGACGAGAAGCGACAACTGTACATGAAACTCATTCGCTCGTTCCCCTCCTTCGTTCCCCGGAATGGGAATGTACAGAAACTCACAAATCATCGAACCTCACAACCCAGCCTTAAAATCGCTCCTCATCGCAAACCCTGTCAGCAGTCCTCCTCCGGGAATGTACGTAAGAGCAACATACACTGAAAATTCTTTTATTCGGCCAACTATATTCTTTACTCCAACGCGCCAGTCCCGTGCCCAGTGTTGTGCGAGGGAGTTTCGTTGGCCCCTGAATTTCTTTATTCCAACTATCGCCTTCTCCGCTTTTCGTCGCCTACGGCGTGGCTCGCCGACGTCATGCATCTCGCCGCGTCGCTGCGCCTCGCCAAGCACGACCTCCTGGACTTTTTGGACGAGTGCTGCCTCGGTGCGCTCCTTCCCGGGAGCGAGCAGGAGCGCCTCGTCGCCGAGCCTTGTCTCGGCGAGGGCGGCGCTCTCTATCCTCGGCCAATGGTGATCTACAGCCGGCCATTCGCGTCGCCAGCGTGCCGGCGGGACTCGCTCGACCGCATGGAGAATCTTCGGATCAGCCGCGCTGGCTGCCGAGAGAGACGGCTCCACTTCTCGTGCTCTTGGCGTCTCGGCGACAGGCCGAGGCGCGTGGCGCTGCTGATTGACGACGCGCAGGAGGAGTACCGCTCGCTCATGCCGCCACGCGTCCTCTCTCGCCTCTGCGATCTCGTCGCTGCGGCGCGAGCCGCCGGCGCCGTTTCTCTCTGGTCGCACCGGCGATGACTGGGAGCCTTGTCTGGACCCCGTCTGAAGCCCGCCTGCAGGCGTCGTCGTCCTCTGGTCCCGCTGGTGCCGCACCTCGCCCACCGACGCGCACTACGGCGCCCTCGACGAGTACTTTGGCCCATGGGGCGTCGCGTCGCACGACAACCCGCTCTACCTCGCATCGGACAAGGGACGCGCCATCATGCACGAGGCTTGCTCGCCCCGCTGCTCACCGCCACGCCACACGCCGCAGCGCGCGGCCTTTGGGCGCCACTCTCGCCATTGAGCGCCTTCGAGCGCCGCGCCAGCTCCTGCCGGCACTCACGGGATGTGGAGATGCGAACGGGTAGCCCTCCCAGCCCCGCTGTTTGCATGGGGACAATCCCTCGACCTGGCCTCTCCTCGCTTTTGCCTCCGCCGCCTCGCCCTCGCCTCAGCTCCCACCGCCGCCCTGGCCGCAGCTTGCTCCTCGGACCGCCGCCGAGAGGTCGCGCGTCATCGACTCGCACGCCTTCGACGCCTTCGCGGCGAGGCGGCGAGACGGGCACTTCCGAGCCGCGGGCGGGTGTCCTGTCCTGTGGGCGTGTCCGCGACGCGTGCCCGGACGTGTCCCGCAGGCGCTCCGTGCTGCGTGCAGAGCTCGACGCGCACGGCGTCGACACGCTCCTGCTGGCGGGCTGCTGGACAGAGTCGTGCGTCCTCTCCACCGCGATCCGGGCGGTGGCAGAGGACCTCAACGTGGCGGTGGCGTCCGACGCCGTCTTCACGTGCGCGGACGCCGGGCCGGCGGCGCTGCGCGTTCTCGGCGTGTACTGCTGCATGGTTCGCGCCGCAGAGATGTCGGCGTATCTGCGAGACCTTGCCTCGGCTGGGACTCTGGCGGAGGCTGACGCGACGGCAGTCGAGCGGACGGCAGCGCTGCCAGTGGCGTTGGCGCAGCCTCTGCCTCCTGCCAGCGCTGAGGCCACGTGATCTCGTCTTCTCGTGTTCCCCTCGCACTTGCCACTTGTTTTTATACTCCACCGCATCGAAATACGTACACCCTCTCACGCGACATGCACCTGGAACCACCTCTCCACTGGCGCGCGACAGACAGGACACCGCTCCATCTTTGCGGAACACCGCCTGCAAGAGCACACATGGCCACACGGCGTCGCTATGTGAGACTTCGGGTCGGTGAAGCAAATTATGCACGTCGTCTCGCCGCCCATCGTGGACTCCGGCGGCCGGCCCGTGTCGAAGCTAGCGTCTGCGAGCGAGACGAGGGCGTGGGGCGGCGGGGGCGCGCCGTGCGTGGGGGCCGGTGCTCCCGCGTCGGCCGCCGCGGCCGCCGTGGCGGACCTTGCCGGGCGAGAAGAGGGAGGGGCCTCTGCCGCAACCGCCGCCGCCTCCGCCTGCTCATCTGCGCCATCGGTCGGAGTATTCATGACCGGCTCCTCGGTCGAGACGAACCGGTCGGTCGCCTCGGCCGCGGCTCGCTCCGCCTTTTCAATCTCCCCCACGAGGGCAGGCAGGGCCGACGCGTGCGACGCCGCCGCCGCCGCCGCCGCGCGCCGCTCCTCGAGCGAGGTGCTGCTCGTGAGCGCCTGCAGCGCGCGCAGCGCGCTCGCCTCCGCAACCGCCGAGCCATGCTTTCGCATCTCGGCCGCCGCGGCAGTGGCGGCGGCCGCGGCCTCCGCCGCCCGCTCCGCCTCCGCCGCCGCCGCCGCTCGCGCTGCCGACTCCCGTGCCGCTACCACCTCTCTCTCTTCCGCCTCACGTGCCTCCGCCTCCTCCGCCGCCCTCGCCACAGCCCCACCTGCAGCTGCCCTCGCCGCCTCACTCAACAGCTCCTCCTCTGCCACCGCCGCCATCTCACCTCCTCCGGTCGGCCGCCTCGGCGGCTCCGCCGCCTTCCTCCGCCGCCGCCGCTCGCGTTTCTGACGCTCGCGCTCTGCCGCCTCTGCCGCCGCCTTCTCCCGCCGCTCACGTCTCTGACGATCGCGCTCTGCCGCCTCTGCCGCCGCCTTCTCCCGCCGCCGCTGCTGCTCACGCTCCCGCTGCTGCTCGTAGCGTGCCCTCTGGACGACGATCGGTGGCTCTTGAAACGGAGACAGCACGTGCTCAACCGTCCAGATGACCACGTCCAACACGGTGAATGCTGCGCTCTCGAACCATGTCGTAAATTGCCGCGCGCCGCCCTGCCAGTTGGCGAAAACGATGAGAAGAAGGGGGGGTGCAAGCCCCAAAAACCAGTCCCCGGTCCAATGGAAGGCGCAGAAGGATGTCACACAAACGAGCGCATCAAGCCAGCGCCAAATGACCATCACCGGAGGGGCGGCGAGAGGGGAGGCAAAAGAGGCGTGTGAGGCTTTTGATTTCTCTTAGTTTTCGCTTTTCTTTTCTCGAACATCGCTCGGGCCCACAGACATCCCGCACACCCGCCGCCCCCGCGCGCGCCCCACCCCGGCCGGGAGAAAAAGGACTTTCCCAACCCATCCACACCTCGCCGAGTCCGAGACGTGCGCCCGAGATGCGAGATACGCCCGAGATGCCGCAGCGAGCGATCTCTTTGAAAGTAGAAAGAAGAAAATTTTGTCCGATTACTGCGGCCCCGCACCAACGCGGTTTTGCTGCTGCTGATCCGTGACCGCGCCGGTGACGCCAGGCCCCCCCGCCCCTGCCTCGAGCCTCAGATCATCGGCGTGTCGGATCTGGTGCCCGCGCCTTTGCGCAGCGGGGCCAGGAGCGTGGCCGCCATCTGCTGCGACTTTGCCTGCACCGCCTTGTTGGTGACCAGCGCCGCGAGCGCCGTGATGAGGGCGCCCGCCACGCCAAAGGTGGCGAGGTAAAGGAAGGCGTGCAGCGTTTCCGCCTCCGACGGCACGAAAAGTTGGATTGTGGCGAAGATGCGAAGCAAGTCGAGCACAACGCCTGCGATGCGCGGGAGCGAGTCACGAGCGACGGGCGCGTGGGCGTGAATTGTGCAGGGTTGGGTACCCTAGACCCGGAGCGCGCGCAGCACCAGCAGACCCAAGCCTCGAACCCGAACCGAAAAAAGGCGAAACGCCGACGGCCGCGAAACACACCGGAATCCGGAAGCGGCCCTGGAACCGCCGCGAGACACCTCGTGTATATGTGCAAAGACCCCCAAAAGTAAGAAACACTCACCTGCTGGCCTCCGAGTTAAGGTAAGGTAAGGTAAGGTAAACTTCTCCACACACACGAGGTGGTGGGGCAAGGGGGGGCAACCCTCGCGTCTCCACGTCTAACGACAGGAGCCCCACGGCATTCAAAGTGCGAGGCCCGGTGCGCGTGGGTGAGCGGTGTGTGTGTGTGTGTGTGTGTGTGTGTGTGTGTGTGTGTGTGTGTGTGTGTGTGTGTGTGTGTGTGTGTGTGTGTGTGTGTGTGTGTGTGTGTGTGTGTGTGTGTGTGTGTGTGTGTGTGTGTGTGTGTGTGTGTGTGTGTGTGTGTGTGTGTGTGTGTGTGTATGTGTCACGTCACTGCATCCTCTGCCGGTTCCTCCCGTCGCCTCTTCTTTGTTCGAATGTTTTTCTCAATCCATCCTTCACGAAGCCCTCCCATGTAGCTAGCGTTCTTGGCGAATGTCTCGAAGTGGCCTCCGAGTTCATTCTTCCTCGCGGGCGCCGCCGCCCAACGCCAATCCCGCCGCACGCCCCCGCTATCCGCTAACCATCCGACAGTACATCTCCTCGCCGCATTGTACCCCTTGCGCGCGAGCACAGACGACAGCTCTGAGTACACCATCAGGCCAATACGTGCGTGGGCGTCAGCGTCCGACCGTGCCACGCCGCGTGTTACAGAAACGCACGCCACTCTCACGTAGGGGCATCGTCGGAGCACGCATCCCTACGACGCGTCGCCGTTTGCGAGTTGCTGACAGCTGGCCACGAGGCCTAATGCGCCGCCAACGATGCCTGTGAAGACCAGGAGCCACGCGACGAAGGTGTCCCACCGGCGCGCACACCGCTCGCCGGTCTCCTTGGCCCTGATCGTCGTGGCCAGCGCCGCCGACTCGAGGATGCGGCGCTCGTGCTCACCCTCCTCGACCGAGGCGGCGCTCGTGCTGCCGCCGGTGCTCGTGCCACCGCCAGCGGCCACTTCGCCTGGCGACGGCGGCTGCAGCTTGAGGAAGAAGAGGCCAGGGAGTACGAACCCGATGGCCGACAAGCCGACGGAGCCGGTGAGCGAGACCATCGTCTCCATGTCGGGCAGCAGCGTGCCGGTGAGCGCGACGGCGCCGACGATGAGCACGCGCGTGAGCGGCCAGAGGATGGGCGGGAGGCGCGGGGAGGGCGTGCCGTGGAGGACATCCTCGAGCACATGGAAGACGGGCGTCATCTGGAGCACGAAGGAGAAGGCGAGGATGATCGCGAGCGCGAGGTGTGCCACGAGCGTCAGCTCGCCCTCGAAGGACGGGCTCATGCCGTCCGTCGTGTTGTACGCAGGGAAGGCGTCCACAACGACGCGCGGCACGCCGTCGCCCCACGCAACGTAGCCAAAGACGCCGATCGCGCCGTAGAGCACGAGCGAGACGCTGTACGACGCCGAGACGACCGAAAAGTAGGGCCGCGGGTCGGCGTCCTCCATCGCCTCGTAGATGGAGAGAGCGGTGCCCATGCCTTCGAAGGCGAAGAGCGCCGGGCCGAACCACAGCCCGAGGCCCGACGGGATGGCGAGGGCGAGCGGCGCCGCCGCGGTCGCGTTGGCGCCTGCAGGGCCGCTCGGGTCGACGAGCTCCTGTGCCCCAAAGTAGCCGACGAGCACGATGACGTAGACGTAGATGATGAGCGCGGCGGCGGAGAGCCACGCGACGGACTTGAGCTGCTTGAGCATCGAGAGCATCGAGAGCAGCGCGAGGACGCAGAAGACGCTCTGGAGGTGCGGCACGTGCAGGTAGGTCTCCGTCGTGGTCGCCACATAGTCAAAGTACGACACGCTCAGGCTAAACTGGGCGAGGAGGAGGAAGAAGAGGGTGATCAGTCGTCCCGGCTCACCGAAGGCAGCCGACGAGATGATCTGCCACGAGCCGGCTCCGTGGCCGTCGGAAACGACAGTCGAGCGACGCATCGGATCGCCCTCGTTGTTGACGACTGTGCGCGCGACGTCCTTTGGCTCGCCGTCCGTCGTCGAACGGTTGCTCTGCGAGTGCCGGAGCGAGTCGCGGACGGTTGCTCTGCGAGTGACGGAAGGGCCCGACGCTCCAGCTCGACCGCCGGACTGCGAGATCTGGGAGACGCGTATCTCGGAGAGGATCGACTTGCGGCTCGAGGAGGTGAGCGCGGCGCAGCGAACGGTCATTCGGATCGCCGCCTGCGAGAGGTACGCGAGGTACACGAGGCCGACTGTCGAGAGGACGAGGCCAAATTGACTCGTCGCCCAAGGCAGCGTCAGGAGCCCGCTGCCGATCATCGTCTTCAAAAGGTTGGCGAACGCAGTGGCTTGCGTCCAGGTTGGCAGGCAGGAGGCGCTTCTGGGTGGCACTTGTTCGAGGAGGCGCTCTCGGGTGTTGGAGCCGGGCATCATGCCTTTCATGGGGAACAACAGGCGGCAGGACCGAGGCGTTTGCGAGCCAAGCGTGGCACCCCCTTCCTTGGGATCCCACCCTGTGAGCGAGGCATCATAGGGATCGGCTAGCCGATCCCTGGCGCATCCCATGCGCCTCCATTTCGATGGACAGCGCGGAAAATTGCGTCATTCCCATACTCGAAGCAGCAGATTCTGAATGAAGCATGCATACACACAAGAAATTTCTTGTTGGTTTTCTAAAATCTCTCTCTCTGCATACCGACACGGAAACTCGTCGACAATCTCGTAGCCCAGGACCTCGATGATGAGCGGCGTCCGTACTTTCAAGCCGATGCGGTCAAGTTTGAGACTACTGGCGCTGAGGAAGTCATCCCACGATGGACGTCTGCCCCCCATTGACACGGAATCGTCCATGCTGGTTGGTGGGCTCGGGCTCGAGGCGGTTTCACTTTTATAAACAGGACGGCCGCACGACGAAATCGAGCAGAGGGGATTCGAGCTGTCGCATATGGGGTCTCGAATGTGGCATAGACCTATGCGGTTCGCGGCCTCCGCGCGCGCGCGCGACCTCCTGCGGCTTTTGCTCCGTTTATTTTGAGCTGAAAGTGCAGCTTGAAGAGAGCCGGTCCTTGTAACAAATCCCCAGCGCGCGCGCGAGCTTTTCGGCTATTGCGACGGTGTATGAGTCGCCTTATGCCACCGTTGCATATCCGGATATGCAACGGTGGCATAAGGCGACTGATACACCGTCGCAAAACTGCATTCCGGGGTCGTTCGGAGATGCATCCGGTTTGGGCACCGGCGGATAGCAGGTGAACGCTAAGGCAGTGACAACGCCCGTCTGGGTTTTTTGCGCCGAGTCGAACTGACTGCGGGATTCGAACTCGAGACCCAATCAATGCAGTTTTGCGACGGTGTATCGTTCACTTTATGCCACCGTTCCGTTGCATATCCAAAGTGAATGATACACCGTCGCAGCTATATGCCGAGAATCGGTTTTTTACTACAATGAACTCGGGCGGGGGCATCAGGACGCGGTACAGACGGGGTACACCAAAAGGCACGGGCTGCCTGCACGGCGTTCACTCGAACGCCATGCACATGGCGCGGAGCAGCATCGGGTTGGTGTCGAACCCGAGGTCCTCCTCCCAATCCCGGCGCCCACCCTCCGCGTCGTCCTGCTCATCGTGCGAGCAATCTTGGAGCACTTGGAGCACTTGGAGTGCAGTCATTAGCCTCACATCCAGGGCCGGGGAACTGAGAAAGAATTCTTAAGATACAAGCCTCTCTCACAGCACACTGGCACGACAAGGGCGCGGACTGGCGCGGACTGGCACACAAGAAGCGCACCCAGCGGGCCGGATGATCGGGATCGGGCTACGGGCTAGAGATCCCTGACCCCTAGGGGGGGGGGGTGCGCGTTCGCAGGGAGAGGGCCGTAAAGTAAACACAGGTCTCCGAGGGTTGGCTCCGTGTACCGGGTTTCCCACTTCAAAGCGCCGTTCGCGCCAGGAGCCTCAGAGCCTCCACCGTTCCGCTAAGTTCCCCTCCAATGTCGTGGAACTACACGGTGACGGCGCACCGTCCGTCGGCCGTATCGCACGCCGTCACGGCCGCCTTCACCGGCCCGGACGACCTCAACCTCATTGTCGCAAAGTCGACGCGGCTCGAGGTCCACGCAGTCGACGGCTCGGGCGAGGGGCTGCGGCCGCTGCTCGACGTGCCGCTGTACGGGCGGGTCGCGACGCTGGAGGTGTGGCGCCCGCACGGCGCCGGCCACCCCGACCTCATCTTCCTCTCCACCGAGCGCTACCGCTTTGCGCTTCTCGCCTACGACGCCGAGAGCGGAGAGGCGAGCGCTGCGCCTCCTAGTGCTGGCGCCTCTAGCGCCGCCGCGGCCGTCGCGCCAGCACACGCGGAGGCTCTGTCCGGACGCACAGCCGCAGCCGCCGTGTGGGCATGACCACGCCGCGCCGCCCCCCCCTCCGCCCCGCCGTAGATCGTCACCAAGGCGGCGGGGGACGTCTCCGACAAGACAGGCCGCCCCTGCGACTGCGGCCAGATCGCGGCCCTCGACCCGCAGCACCGGCTGCTCGGGCTTCACATGTACGACGGCCTCTTCAAGATCATCCCCGCGCTCGCGGGAGGCGCGCCACGTCCGGACGCCTTCGCCGCCGCCGGAGCCCTGCAGCAGCCTTCTCGGACCCCTCGGGCCGTAGGCTTGCGGCCGCCTTCTCGGACCCGGCTCGGACCCGGCTCGGACGCGGCTCGGACCCGGCTCGGACGCTCGGCCGTAGGCACGCTTCGTTCGGAGGCCTTCAACGTGCGCATGGAGGAGCGGCGCCTGCTCGCCCTCTCGCTCCCTCCCATGCCAGTGTCGGCTTGACCGTCGTCCCTGTCGCGTGCAACTCCCTTCCCGCGCAGGAGCTGTACCTGCTCGACCTCTGCTTCCTCGCCGGCACGCCGCGCCCGACGCTCGCCACCCTGCACGAGGACTCGAAGCACCAGCGTTACCTCAAGACGCACGAGGTTTCCGTGCGGGACAAGGCGCTCTCCGACGGCCCCTGGCCGCAGGTCGACTGCAGTGTATATGTGTATATCGCCCCACCCCGTCCTCCTCCCCAGAGGCCAGCACCGCGCTCGGAAGACCTGCGCACGTGTCTGGCCGCAGGTTGCCGTCGAGGCGTCGGCGTCGCAGCTCATCGCGCTGCCCTTCGGAGGCAACCGTAGTCTGGGGCCGTAGTCTGGGGCCGTAGTCTGGGGCCGTAGTCTGGGGCCGTAGTCTGGGGCCGTAGTCTGGGGCCGTAGTCTGGGGCCGTAGTCTGGGGCCGTAGTCTGGGGCCGTAGTCTGGGGCCGTAGTCTGGGGCCGTAGTCTGGGGCCGTAGTCTGGGGCCGTAGTCTGGGGCCGTAGTCTGGGGCCGTAGTCTGGGGCCGTAGTCTGGGGCCGTAGTCTGGGGCCGTAGTCTGGGGCCGTAGTCTGGGGCCGTAGTCTGGGGCCGTAGTCTGGGGCCGTAGTCTGGGGCCGTAGTCTGGGGCCGTAGTCTGGGGCCGTAGTCTGGGGCCGTAGTCTCGGGTAGTCTCGGGTAGTCTCGGGTAGTCTCGGGTAGTCTCGTGCCCATCGTCACCGAGCGAACAGAGCGGGTGAGGAAGGAGCCCGTTGTGTCGAACTGCCTAGACACTTCCTCGACACCTCCTCGACACTTCCTAGACACTTCCTCGACACTTCCTACAGGCGTGCTCGTCCTCTCCGAGCACTTCCTAGACACCTCCTCGACACTTCCTAGACACCTCCTCGACACCTCCTCGACACTTCCTACAGGCGTGCTCGTCCTCTCCGAGCACTTCCTAGACACCTCCTCGACACCTCCTCGACACTTCCTACAGGCGTGCTCGTCCTCTCCGAGCACTCGGTGCAACTCGCCGCTCGGGCTGCTCACACCTCCTCGAGGGCGCGAGGGCCGCTCACACCGCGCCGCTGTGACTTCAGGTCGCGTGCCACTCGGGCGGCGCCGTCCGCGCGCACCAGGTGCGTCTGCGTCTGCGTCTGCGTCTGCTCGAGCCTCCGGCGAGTCGTCGGAGGGACGGGACGCCCCCCCCTCCTTCACCTTCACAGGTCTCTGCGTCGGGTGCGCCGACTCTCTTCCGAGCCCACGGCCGCGTGGACCCAGACGGGACGCGGTGGCTCCTCTCCGACGCGGCGGGGACGCTCCACGTCCTAGACACTTCCTAGACACTTGCGAGACACTTCCTAGACACCTCCTATAGGCGGGGACGCTCTACGTGCTCGCCATCGGCTTGACGGACCGCGCCGAGGTGACGTCGCTCACGCTCGAGCGGCTTGGCCAGACAGTCGCCGCGTCCGCCATCTGCTACCTCGACAACGGCGTGGTCTACCTCGGCTCGAGCTGCGCCGACGCGGTGGCCGCTCTCGCTCTAGCGGCGAGGACGAGCCCGGACCGCTAGCGCACCCGTCGGAGGGCCGTGGGTAGGTGCTGCTCTAGCCTCTCGACTTCCTTCCTAGACACCTCCTAGACACTTCCTAGACAGTTCCTGGACAGCTCCGGGCAGGTGCTGCTCTCTCCCTCGACTTCCTAGACACTTCCTGGACACCTCCGGGACAGTTCCGGGACAGTCCCGTGCCGTGGGTAGGTGCTGCTCTCTCTCTCTACGGAGGCGCACGAGGACGGCTCCTACTTCTCCGAGCTGGCGAGGTGGGAGAACCTCGGCCCGATCGTCGACTTCGCGGTCCTCGACCCGGAACTGTCTGGGAAGTGCCTAGGAAGCGTCTGCGAGGTGTCTAGGAAGTGTCTAGGTCCTCGACCCCGAGGGGCAGGGGCAGGGGCAGGTCGTCACTTGCTCGGGCACGCGCCGGGACGGCACCGTGCGGGCCGTCCCTCGGCTGCATTCGCCCGCAAGTGGGAGGGGGCGAGGGAAGCTAGCATAGGCTCGATCCGCGTCGTCCGTTCGGGCGTCGCCTTCGACGAGCGGGCGTCGCTCCCCCTGCCCGGCGTCAAGGCGATGTGGTCGCTGCACGCCTCCGGCTGTGGCGGCGGCGGCGGTGGCAGCGGCGGCGGCGTCGCCCCGGCACGGCTGGTGCTGTCGTTTGTGTCGGAGACAAGGCTGCTCGCGAGGGGGACAGTTCCTGGACACTTCCTTGGCCGCTTCCTAGCCACTCCCCCTGTGAACAGGCTGCTCGCGATGGCGCGCGACGAGGAGGAGGGCGACCATCTGGCCGAGGTGGAGGAGGGGGGCGGCTTCGACACGGAGAGCGCGACTGTGTTTGCAGCCTCGCTCGCCGGCGGCGCCGCCATTGTGCAGGCGACGTCGCGCTGCCTGCTGCTGCTCGATGCCGCCTCCCTCGCTCAGCTCGGGGTCTGGTCGCCGCCTGACGGAGCCGCCATCACCCTCGCTGCCGCGCACGGCACCACCCTCCTCCTCGCCACCGCCGGCCGCACCGCCGCGCTGCTCCGGGTCTTGCATAGAGCACTCGCAGGCATCGTTGCTGCAAGCTGAGGCATAGGCCGCACCGTCGCGCTGCTCCGGTGCGACCCGGCGGCCGGCGAGCCGATCGCGCTGCTCGCGACACGCGCGTTCGAGCATGAGGTCTCCTCGCCCCGCCCTGCCCCTCCCCGCCCGTCAGCAGGCTCGTGACTCCTCATTGTTCACACCTGATTGTTCACAGGTCGCTTGCCTCGCTCTGCGCCCGCCCGCCGCCGCCCCCTCCCCGCCAGACGCGTCCTTGGACGCGTCCGACGCGGAGGCGCCGATGGAGACGGACTCGGGAGGCGCGGCCCGCAGCGGCGAAGGCCCTTGCGGCCTGTCTTGCCGAGGAGCAAGTGTGAATGACCGCGTCCGCCGTCAGCAGGCGCGTGCGGCGGCGAGCCCCTCCTGGCGGCGGTCGGTTCGTGGACGTCGTTTTCCCTGTCTCTCCTCTCGCTCCCCTCGCTCGCGCCTTGCGGCACCACCCCGCTCGGAGACAAGGGCGTCGTCCCGCGTTCTCTCGCCTTCTACGCGCCCGCCGCGGCGCTGCACTCCGCTCCCTCCCCCTCCGCAAGACAGCTTGCGCCGAGAGGAGCCGAGAGGGCCGTCCCAAGACTAGGCGCCGCACGAGTACCTGCTAGCCACTTGCTAGACACTTCCTAGCCACTTCCTAGCCGAGACTAGGCGCCGCACGAGTACCTGCTAGACACTTGCTAGACACTTCCTAGCCACTTCCTAGCCGAGACTAGGCGCCGCACGAGTACCTGCTAGCCACTTGCCAGACACTTGCTAGACACTTCCTAGCCGAGACTAGGCGCCGCACGAGTACCTGCTAGCCACTTGCCAGACACTTGCTAGACACTTCCTAGCCGAGACTAGGCGCCGCACGAGTACCTGCTAGCCACTTGCTAGACACTTCCTAGACACTTCCTAGCCGAGACTAGGCGCCGCACGAGTACCTGCTAGCCACTTGCTAGACACTTCCTAGACACTTCCTAGCCGAGACTAGGCGCCGCACGAGTACCTGCTAGCCACTTGCCAGACACTTGCTAGACACTTCCTAGCCGAGACTAGGCGCCGCACGAGTACCTGCTAGCCACTTGCTAGACACTTCGTAGACACTTCCTAGACACTTCCTAGCCGAGACTAGGCGCCGCACGAGTACCTGCTAGACACTTGCTAGCCACTTGCTAGACACTTGCTAGACACTTGCTAGACACTTCCTAGACACTTCCTAGCCGAGACTAGGCGCCGCACGAGTACCTGCTCTGCGGACTCGGCGACGGCAAGCTGCTCTACTTCCCGCTGCCGACCGCGGAGGACGCCGCGCCGGTGCTCGGCGCGCCAAAGGCGGCCCCCGCGTCGCCACGCCGCCGACAGAGCCACTCGTTCGTTGGTGTGCGACGTCCACCGCGAGAGCTCTCTCTCTGAGTTAGGCTGTTCCGCTCGCGACGCAGCCGCTCTCGCTCGTGGCGTACACCGCCGACGACGGCGCGCCGCTCGTGCTCTGCTGCTCCGCATGGAGACTCGAGAACGCGCGGAGCACCCGTGAGAGAGGCTCCCGATAGGTGAGCCGCTCGTGTTTTGCTGCTCCGAGCGGCCAGCGCTGGTGCACGCCTCCGCAGGCCAGCTGCTCTTCTCGTCGGTGCGAGCCTGCCCTGACTCCTCGCGAGCAGAAGAGAAGAGGGTGCCGTTGATAGCAGGCCAACCCACAGCTCACGTCGAGCAGAAGAGAAGAGAAGAGGGTGCCGTTGACAACAGGCCAACCCACAGCTCACGTCGAGCAGAAGAGAAGAGGGTGCCGTTGATAGCAGGCCAACCCACAGCTCACGTCGAGCAGAAGAGAAGAGAAGAGGGTGCCGTTGATAGCAGGCCAACCCACAGCTCACGTCGAGCAGAAGAGAAGAGAAGAGGGTGCCGTTGATAGCACGCCAACCCACAGCTCACGTCGAGCAGAAGAGAAGAGAAGAGGGTGCCGTTGATAGCAGGCCAACCCACAGCTCACGTCGAGCAGAAGAGAAGAGAAGAGGGTGCCGTTGATAGCAGGCCAACCCACAGCTCACGTCGAGCAGAAGAGAAGAGAAGAGGGTGCCGTTGATAGCAGGCCAACCCACAGCTCACGTCGAGCAGAAGAGAAGAGAAGAGGGTGCCGTTGATAGCAGGCCAACCCACAGCTCACGTCGAGCAGAAGAGAAGAGAAGAGGGTGCCGTTGATAGCAGGCCAACCCACAGCTCACGTCGAGCAGAAGAGAAGAGAAGAGGGTGCCGTTGATAGCAGGCCAACCCACAGCTCACGTCGAGCAGAAGAGAAGAGAAGAGGGTGCCGTTGATAGCACGCCAACCCACAGCTCACGTCGAGCAGAAGAGAAGAGAAGAGGGTGCCGTTGATAGCAGGCCAACCCACAGCTCACGTCGAGCAGAAGAGAAGAGAAGAGGGTGCCGTTGATAGCAGGCCAACCCACAGCTCACGTCGAGCAGAAGAGAAGAGAAGAGGGTGCCGTTGATAGCAGGCCAACCCACAGCTCACGTCGAGCAGAAGAGAAGAGAAGAGGGTGCCGTTGATAGCAGGCCAACCCACAGCTCACGTCGAGCAGAAGAGAAGAGAAGAGGGTGCCGTTGATAGCAGGCCAACCCACAGCTCACGTCGAGCAGAAGAGAAGAGAAGAGGGTGCCGTTGATAGCAGGCCAACCCACAGCTCACGTCGAGCAGAAGAGAAGAGAAGAGGGTGCCGTTGATAGCAGGCCAACCCACAGCTCACGTCGAGCAGAAGAGAAGAGAAGAGGGTGCCGTTGATAGCAGGCCAACCCACAGCTCACGTCGAGCAGAAGAGAAGAGAAGAGGGTGCCGTTGATAGCAGGCCAACCCACAGCTCACGTCGAGCAGAAGAGAAGAGAAGAGGGTGCCGTTGATAGCAGGCCAACCCACAGCTCACGTCGAGCAGAAGAGAAGAGAAGAGGGTGCCGTTGATAGCAGGCCAACCCACAGCTCACGTCGAGCAGAAGAGAAGAGAAGAGGGTGCCGTTGATAGCAGGCCAACCCACAGCTCACGTCGAGCAGAAGAGAAGAGAAGAGGGTGCCGTTGATAGCAGGCCAACCCACAGCTCACGCCGAGCAGAAGAGAAGAGAAGAGGGTGCCGTTGATAGCAGGCCAACCCACAGCTCACGCCGAGCAGAAGAGAAGAGAAGAGGGTGCCGTTGACAACAGGTCAACTTGCCCGCAGCTCACGCCCTCGCGCCCTTCTCGTGTTACGCCCTCCCGGGCTGCCTCGCCGCCGCCGACGAGGAGCCGCGGCTGCTCGGCAGTGTTAGTCACTCCTGCCGTCGCTGCTCAGGGGGATTTGATTCATCAGGAGTCGCTGCTGCTTGGCAACGTGCTGTCGCCCGCGCGGCGCTCGGGAGGCGGCTCGTACCGCCGGCCGCAGGAGCTTACCCGAGATCACCCGAGATCACCCGAGTATCTCGGGAGGCGGCTCGTACGGCCGGCCGCAGGAGAGTGGAGCCGAGATGCAGATGAGATGCAGCCGAGATACAGAGGTGCAGCCGAGAGACAGCCGAGAGGCAGCCGAGAGGCGGCCGAGAGACGGCCGAGAGACGGCCGAGAGACAGCCGACGGCAGTATCTGAGGCTACCGGCTCGGCTGTATCTCGTCTGTATCTCGGCTGTGACCCCTGCTGTATCTCGGCTGTATCTCGTCTGTATCTCGGCTGTGACCCCTGCTGTATCTCGGCTGTATCTCGTCTGTATCTCGGCTGTGGCCTCGGCTGTCTCTCGCCGCAGGTGTCCACCTACCGGCTCGGCGAGCAGCCGCGCCGCATCGCCCCTCTGCCAACGCGGCGCGCGCTGGCGCTGCTCACGTCGACGGGCGAGCGGGCTGTGCCCGGGGGGGAGGAGACGGAGCGGTGCGAGCTGCGCGCGCTCGACGCCTCCGGCCCCTCCGGCCCCTCCGACTCGCTCGGCCTGGTTCACCCCCTGGCTCCTCGCCCGCCAGGTACAAGCTTCGCGTGTTCGACGACTCCTCCTTTGCGGAGCTGGCGTCGGCGCACCTGCTTCCGGACGAGGCGGGCCTCTCCATCCTCGTGTCGGGGCTCGGCGAGGAGGAGGCGGCCGAGGGTGCCGCCGGCAGCAGCGTGGGCGGGCTCGGCGGCGGCGGCGGAGGCGGCTACATCGTGGTTGGCACTGCGCACATCCTGCCCGACGAGCCGGAGCCAACCTCTGGCCGCATCCTCGTCTTCGAGCTGCAGGAGGGCTATGCCTCGAGCTGCACCAACCTCGGCCGCACCTCGGCTGCACCTCGGCCGCACCTCGGCTGCACCTCGGCTGCACCTCGGCTGCACCTCGGCTGCACCTCGGCTGCACCTCGGCTGCACCTCGGCTGCACCTCGGCCGCACCTCGGCCGCACCTCGGCCGCACCTCGGCCGCACCTCGGCTGCAGGAGGGCTCGCTCGAGCTGCGGCACGAGGCGGCGGTGCGCGGTGCCGTCTACTCACTCGCCGAGCTGTCGTCTGGCCTGCTGCTCGCCGGCGTGAACAACAAGCTGCAGCTCTTCGAGTGGGAGGCGGGTGCGCCGCGGCTGGCGCTGCGGGCGGAGCACTGCGGCCACATCCTGGTGTTGTACGTGCAAGCGCGCGCCGACTTCATCTTGGTGGGCGACCTGATGAAGTCGATCACGCTGCTGCAGTGGTCCGCGGGGCGAGCTGGTGCCCTCTGGCTGTGAACAGCGTCTCTTCACACCTCTAGCTGTGAACAGGTCCGCGGGCGAGCTCACCGAGCTGGCGCGCGACGTCAACGCCAACTGGATGACCGCGGTCGCCTCGACGACGACTGACCCTGACCCTAACCCTAACCCGAACCCTAACCCTAACCCTAACCCTAGGTCGCCTTCCTCGACGACGACACCTTCCTCGGCGCGGAGAACGCGCTCAACCTCTTCGCGGCTCGCAAGCGGGCCGACGCGCCCACCGAGGAGGAGCGGGGCAGGCTGGAGGTGGTGTGCGAGTTCCACCTGGGCGAGTTCGTCAACCGCTTCCGCCGCGGCTCCCTCACCATGCAGATGCGCGAGGCGGGCGCGGAGCCGCTGCCGACGATGCTGTACGGCTCCGTCAACGGCGTGGTCGGCGTGGTCGCCTCGCTTCCGCAGGAGCTGTACGTGCGGCTCGCAAAGGCGCGCGACCCGCCCCTCCCCGGCGACTCGCCTCTCCCCAGCGCGTCCGCGACTCGCCCGCGACACGTCCGCGACACGTCCGCGACACGTCCGCGCAGGTGCAGACGGCGCTCTCCCGCGTCGTCAAGGGGGTGGGTGGGCTCTCTCACGCGTCGTGGCGCTCCTTCGTCAACGACCGGAAGACCGCCGACGCGCACGGCTTCATCGACGGCGACCTGATCGAGGCCTTCCTCGACCTGCCGCCGCGCAAGAAGGAGGAGGTCGTGCCACACGCACACACCACGCACAACAGAGACGCAAAACAAAACAAACAGAGACGCCCCCCCCCCCCCACACACACACACACTCGCACGCACGCACACTCGCCTCGCTCGCTCGCTCGCTCGCTCACGCACACCGGGCCTTGCACTTTCAAAGCTGTGGGTCTCCTCTCTTCAGATGTGTGCAGCTGCGAGAGGGCTGCCTGGCAGCCCTCTCCGCTTGTGTCTGGAGAGTTGACCTCACCTCACCGCGCCTAGGTCGTCGCTGGGCTCGACATGACCGCCGAACAGCTCTCGCGTGTCATCGAGCAGCTGGCGCGCCTCCACTGACATGTCCACTGAGCTGCCTCGGAGGGATCGCGCTTCGCGGATCGGGGACAGTTTCACAACACAGCCACACAGGCGGGACAGTGGACGCGAAGGTGCTGCGGCTCATTAGCAGAGCGAGGTGTTCAGGCTTGTACGCAAATTATCAGGGCCGCTCCGATAAATGTTTTTTCAACCCACAAAGGTTCCCCCGGCCCCGCCCGCGGCCACAGCTAGTCATGAGCTATCCGTGTGTGGAGTCTGAGTGGTCGTGTGGGCGGCGCGGCATGACCGGCACCACCCACACGACTAGACGTTGAGGTCCTTGGTGAGCAGCGCCTGGAAGCGAACGAGGCTCGAGTGTGTGAGGCAGGAGTCAAGGGAAGGGCTCAGCAAGGGGGCGGGGGACGGCAGGGCAGGCGAGGCTCACATGAAGCGCGAGTGGCCGCCGCCGCCGTGCTTGGCGACAAGAAGTCAACCCCGTTGATCAAAGTTGTCGCCGGATGGAGGGCTGTGTTTCTCTTGATGAGGAGTAGGGGTGTCGATGGCAGATCTACAGCTTGCAACTACGAGCGAGCCTCGCTGCGGCCGATGTATCTGCCGGAACGCGCTCATCTCGCCCACCAAGAGCCTCACATCGTTCTTTCCGCCGTTCTCGTGCGCGTCGGTCAGGAAACCGGCGGTGATGTACCAACGGTCGCGATCAGGGTCAGCTCTCGAGCAAGCTTAAAGGGAATCGCTCGCATCGCCGATGACGAGAATCGTCGAATCATAAAAAAAAACCCGTTGTTTCCCCGTCCTCCCATCCCTCCCTGGGGTTGTCTGTTTTCTTTCTTCCTTTTTCTTTCTTTCTTTACCCAAAAGTAAAATCCCTGTGTGGTGGCGGCGTGCCGTCCTCCCATCCCTCCCTTGGGTTGTCTGTTTTCTTTCTTTCTTTCTGACCCAAAAGTACATGTAGGTCCCCCAGCCGGCCGTCGACCCAGTCAGTCAGTATCCCCCCCCCTCCGGGAAATAAGAAATCCGACACCGCTCCAATAGGGGAGGCGACACGACCCAACGGCAACGCCGCCGCCCTCGCCCGGGGAGTTGGGCACGGGATCGCCGCCCGCGGAGTCAACGGGATCAGGCGGAGAAGACGAGTCGGCGGCGGGGCCACGGCCGAAGAAGCAGAAGAGGGGGAGGCGGGCTCCGCACCCGTCGCCGAACCAGCGGAAAGCGAACGGGAGAGAGGACCGAGCGGGGTGGGGGGATGAGGCGTCCTGGCCGGGGGGGGCCGGTGCGGCCAGGTCGAGTGAGAGTGTACGAGTCGTGTGGGTACGAGTCTGGTGTCTGCTAGCTGCCTCCGAGTAGAGGGGGCGCCCCGCCGCTAGGGGAAACCCGAAGCGCGGACTAACCCTCGGAGACCCGTGTTTACTTTACGGCCCTTTTCCTGCGAACGCGCACCCCCCACCCAGGGCTAGGTAGGGCTCTCTAGCCCGTAACCCGATCCCGATGCCATCATCTGGCTCGCTGGGTGTGCTTCTTAGCCCACCGGCCCTGGATGTGAGGCTAATGACTGCACTCCAAGTGCTCCAAGTGCTCCACTCAGGAATGGACATTGCCGCGGACTCCAACGACCCAGCCGCTGCTGCGCCTGCTGTTGCTGCCGATGCCGGCGTCGGGGTCAACAATAGGACCCGGTCACGCGCACGCGTCTCTGAGCGAGCCCTCGTGCCTTGCGAGCAAGACGCTCTGAGCGAGCCGCGCTCGAGCCTTACGACCAAGACGGCGGATCCGGTGGAGCCGTCGTCAACATCCGCGAATTCGGGCGATCGTCTCCCGCTGTAAAGACGGCGTCACCACTGAAAAGGTGTGCGAGCGCCTCGGAATCTCGCCCCGGGACTACGTCTACGACGCAAAGGAGCGCGTCCGGCGAACGTTAGCTGCCACAATGCCAGCGTTGGCGCCAAGATGATCGACCAGGCGGAAGCAACGCGTCTCCGCTCCTACTAACTCGTCGCTCCGCCGAGATGATCGCACAGACGTCCTCGATGGTCTCGAAGTGGACCGCGTACGCCTCCGACGAGTATGTTCCCGCCCGGAAACAAGAGTGGCGTATGTATGTATGTAGGAAGGTGAGTGGCGCCTCCGTATAGATAGAGAGATGGGGTCGAGAGAGGAGAGAGAGTCAGACCGGAGCTGCCGCGGTGCTGGTAGTTCGACCTCGCCTTCGACAGTTTCTGAAGACTCCTTATCAGCTGGTCGGCCGCCATGTGGGCCTCCCGGCCTGCTGCGGCGGCGCGGCCGGTCGAGGCCGGGCTCGGCCCGGCCCGCGACGGCTGGCCGCCGACGAGCGCGCTCGCGCTGCTCGTCAAGATGGCGGCGGTGGCGATTGCGGCGACAAAAGTTCAGGCGTACAGCGCTCAGGCGCCTGTCGTCTTTCGTCTTTTGTCGCATTTCGCACACGCGCGCGCCGCGCGACCCGCGTCGCTCCGCGAGGGCATGAGCCTTCCGCGATTCGATCCCGCAGCCAAAAGCTGCTCGCTCGAACCGCGGCCGACTCTGCCATCGCGGCTGCCTGCAGCTGTCGAGCTCTCCACAAAACTGGTGCCTCATATGCTGCCTCCCTGCGGATGCTGCCGGCGAGTTTGGCGTCCGCTGTACTACAAGGAAGTGCTGACTCGTTCTACCTCGAATTCTTCTACCCCCACGACTCGGAACACGAATGTGTGACAGGACCATCGGGTCCTTCAGCCACCAAAGCGGGATCACCCGAGAGCAGCTGAGCCTGCCTCTGGCCTCGCCTCCCTCTCCTTCAGGCATTCGTGGCATCCTATCACCTATGGGTCGTCCAGAGAGCAGAGTATCGACCTCTGGCTTGTCAGCCGGTCACTCACTTGATGACGACCATGAAGTACAGCGATCGCCACCTCGCTGGCCTCTCCGCAGGCCCCCACGACGGCGTCGAATTCACGGCGCGGGCTCTCTCGGTCGGCTACGGGACCGGCCCCAGCTTCGGCTGAGGGCTGACAAGCTGCCGAGCCCAAACACTGTGAGAGTCGTGATTTCTGGTTGGTTTTCTAAAATCTCTGTCAGAAAAACACAACCCCGGACCTGGCGAGTAGAGGCCCCGCCCACCCAGGTACCCTCTCCAGGCTCGAGAGAGCGTGCGTGTGCGTCGGATCCCTACTCGCCCGACCCCGGCCAAGACGCACAAGCACAGACAGTGTGTGACACAAAAACCCACACCGGCGTCTTTGATGCTCTTCGCTCTCTGCGTGCCGTTTTTGGGCGCCGTGCTGACGATTCCGCGCTCTCCCGACGAGATGGTGCGGCGGGCGGCGGCGGCGGTGACGCGCGCGTCACAGGCCGGCGTCAGGCGCCAGATCGTCAAGCTGGTTGTGCCCGACGACCAGCGTTCGTACAAGGTCTTCGGAGCCGTGCCGATACAGGGCACCTCGGCGCCGGAGGACCTCGATCCGTGGCCGGGCGGCCTCAAGCAGCAGTACCCGATCGCTCTCGGCCTCGCCCGAGAGCTGCTCCAGGGCGTCACCGGCGCGAGCGAGCGGCTCATCACCGACCAGGTGCTCGACGCGGAGGACGCGTGCGGCCTCGTCCTGGCGCAGGCAGCGGACAGGCTGCGGGCGCGAGACCGATGTGTGGTGCAGTGTTGACTTTGCTTCGTTGTCCTCGCCAGGGCGCCACGCCAGCTGAGGACGCCGCGGTTTGCCTCTTTGCGGGCTGTGACCAGCTCGGCAGGCTGCGCGAGGTGGACGGGATGGCGGGTGCGGACCGCCTGCTCTGCCTGCTCAACCCGCAGTTCAAGCGGCTCGAGGACTTTTCGCTCTGGCAGCGGGGCGAGGCGCGTTCCGTCGTCTTTGAGAGGGGCTACGAGTGCAGCTTCGCCTTTGAGGAGTTTGCCTGCCGCGGCGAGGACGTCAAGCTGGCGGGCGAGCAAGGGGTCGGCCGAGGAAGCAAGAGCGGCCCCGCGTCAAACGGAAGCTGCGAGGAGTAGGTTGGCGAGCACGGGGTCGGCTGGTGCGCGTTCGTCTTCCTCGATGACGGGTCGGAGGGCACGATCCTGCACGAGGGCGCGCTGCCGTCGCGGCCCGAGTACAGCTGGCTCGAGGCGCAGATCAACGCGCGGCACCCCAGCCCGCGGTGGGCGAGGTCCAGCCCGGGGGGCGAGGAGGGGCTGCCTGCTCGCTGGCTCGTTCACCACGCTCCGCTTCGCTCGTTAGGCAGCTCAGCCGGGTGGACGAGGAGGGGCTGCGCTTCATGCGGCGCGGCGAGGAGGAGAGCGGAGGGGCCACCGAGCGCGAGGCGCCGCAGAGCGAGAGCGAGCGCTAGTTGCGTCCCCGGGTTTCTTTGTGACATCGTTGCCCAAGCGCCAAAAGCTACGGCTGGGGGGGAGAGAGATTTTAGCATATTTGGAGCACTTGGAGTGCAGTCATTACCCGCACATCCAGGGCCGGGGAGCTAAGAAGCGCACCCAGCGGGCCGGATGATTGGGATCGGGCTACGGGCTAGAGAGCCCTGACCCCTAAGAGCTAAGTGAGGGGGGCGCACACTTGGAGCACTTGGAGTGCGGTCATTAACCTCACGCCCAGGACCGGGGAGCTGAGAAGCGCACCCAGTTGGCCGGACCCGCTCGGCATCGGGTTACGGGCTAGAGAGCCCTAGCCCCGGGGGTGCGCGGTCGCAGGGCCATAACACGTCTCCGAGGGATGGTTCCGTGTACCGGGTTACCCCTTAACTGCAGAACGCACCCTCTTCCTCGACCGTGGGGGGGTGCGCAGTCGCAGGGCCATAACACGGGTCTCCGAGGGTTGGCTCTGCGCTCCGGGTTTCCCCCAGCGGCGGAATTTTTCCCTCGCGCTGTGGGTCCCCCTAGCTGCGGAACGCCCCCTCTACTCGGAGCTAAAGAATTATGATGTATCTTATTCGGACCCCCCCCTCGGCGCCTTGTGATTTTCGTGCGAAGATTTCGAGATCTCCCCGCCGTCCTCCGCTCAGCGCCGGCCGCCCATGCGCTCGCGGGGCTGGCCGACGGCGCGGGCCTCTTGCCGATGGACCCAGCCGAGGTGCCCAACCAGTCCGCAGTCGGAGCCGCGCCGACGCGCTGCGCGCGACCACCAGCCAGCTTTTCAGCGAGGCCGAGCACGGTGCGTCGAGAAAGCTGACAGTCAGAACAGTTGTCGCTTTTTTTTCCTCTTTTTGAGCGCCGCTGCTGCATACCCAGCCCACCAGTGATACGAGACGCACCGGATCCAACCCTGGCAGCGCTTGACCGTCACCCCGGTGGCCGCCCACAGGTGGCTGATCGCGGCCGCCGCTCACGCTGCTTTTCGGCGCCTGGCTCTCAGAGGGCCCCTGCGGCTCTCGCTCGTCGCGCGACCGCCGCCGACATCATGTGCTTGGTCGTCCCCGCCGGCACGGAGCTGCGCCACGTCGAATTGTTCGGCGGCTCGACCGCCGGCGCGCCCACCCTCGCCTCCTGCGCGCCTCACACCCAGAATTCTCCTCGCGCGCGGCCGACAAAGTAGGCACACGACCACCTCCCTCCCACTCACCCCCCCCACGATGCACAGCCCGTCCACTCTCGCCGGCAAGGCGCACGGAACGCCCAATTTGGGCTGGAAATGCCGCCGCCACGGGTTGGTGCGCCCTCGGCAGCGGGGCAGCGCCACGCCGCGCAAACTTGCGCGACAAAATTGCGACCTCTGTCCCTCGTATTCACCCCAGATTTTGCCCTATCCAGGCTCACCCGGTACCGCGAGCGGCGAGCCGCGCCAAGTTTGCTCCATTTCCGACAAGTTCATCCCGCCCGAACGCCGATCTTCGGCCGCCTGGAGGCCCAGGACGGGGCTCGGGACCGGCCAGGTGTGGATTCTCCTCGGCGCTGCGGTGTATCTGCGCGCCCATGGCGCGTTCAGGGGTGCGTCTGAGGCATGTAGACTGCGGGGCGCCGCGATAGCGCGGCGCCGACGATTGTGTCAGCTCACTGTCACACCGTCGACACGGTCACAGTGTGTGTGCAGTGCGTCCACTCCGGCGACCGTGACGCCGTCGGTTCTCGCCTATACTGGCTAGTGTGGAGCTATCAGTGTGGTTGCGTGTTGTACTAGTGATGCTGCACTAGGCGGCCCGTTTTTAGCAAAAACCAGATACCAAATCGCGTGTGGTCGTCGAAAAACCGCATCTTCGCCCGTCTGGGACCTCTTCGTACGGCTCCAAAAACCGCTCCTTAACAACGGCTACGCGGCCCGGCGGTCGATCTGCGCCTGCTCAGCGGTGGAGGGGATGTGGGCGGTACGTGCGTACCGCGTGGTGTTGCGACGGTTTGACGATTGCGACTCCCAGCGTCGACTTTTCGACCCCACGGAGCCTCTGCTGCTCCGGGGGGGGGGGTCTGCAGACCACCCGGCCGAACTTCAGAGTGGCGGTGCTCCTCAAATACCGCTCAAACGCCCACGATGTTGTGGAGGGGACATATGCTGATGATCCTGGCCCGATTGGTTCGCTCAGAAAGCTTCTGGGCGGTCGCTAAGGTTCGCTCCCCGCACACGGGCCCCGGAATAAGATACATCATAGAATACTCTCCGAGGGTTGGCCCCGCGTACCAGGTTTCCCCTCGTCGTCGCGCTTTGCAGAAGGCCGTCTCGTGCAGTGGGAGCGTGTGTGGGGGAAGTGGTTCTGGTAAGGCGTACATGTCGTGTGCGTGCTCATCGAGCGCTATGATAAAGAAGAAAATGAAAGTGATCGAAAAAAGAAAAAGTGCCAGCAACGTCTTCTTTTTCGTGCGGGAGTTCGGAGGCTTGGAGGACGTCGGCAGGCGGACATTACAAGTCGTCGCTGTCATCGCCTTCCTGCGCGTTCGCAGAGATGCCGACAGTCGCGCTCATCTGGTATCCTTCTGTTACTCCTCCTTCCACTCCTCCCAATCTGACGTCGCCTTGGCACGTGACGATTGACGTGTACACTGGCGTGGATGAGAGCCACGCTTGGCAAGCAGTGGACGAAATCCTGAAACGCCAGTCGAGCCTGGTCTTTGAAGCGTTTTTCACTGGACAGGACATCGCTCGCCTCAGGACGAGGGCTGCATTTATCACGGCAAGACGCGGCCCGGGCCAGGCCTCGTTCCTCAAACTCAACGATGATGAATCATGCACCGGACAGCTAGGAAAGCACAAATTAACAGCTCTCGTGTCGTGCCACGCTGTGCAAGAGCTGCGAGCGCAACTCGAGCGGTCGGTCTTAGTGGGTATGCGCGACCCCGATACCATGAAGAAGGGTCGATACATACCCCATATGACGCTTGGAAGCATGGACGACCTCAAGCACCTTGTAGGCCAGCGGGTGGAGGGCGGCAAGCTCGAGCTCAAAGTGGTTGGGGGGACCAGAATTGACACGCCATGGCTCGTCCAGAGCCCCCATGCAGCTGCGCCAAGTGCAAAGAGACAACGTATCGACGGCTCTCTGGCTAATGACCCTCCCACTGTCAAGAAGCTCATGGTGGCACGGGACAACGCGTTGGCCGAGCTCGAAGGTCAGCTCGTGGGGGTCGAGCCGGTGAAGCGCCAAATCCGAATGCTATGCGAGACTGCGATTGCGACGGAGCGCCGAGAGTTGCTCGGCATTGAGAGGAGACCCGTGGGGAACCACATGCTGTTTATCGGGAATCCTGGTACGGGCAAATCAACCGTCGCTGAGATCGTCGCACGTCTTCTGCACAGCATAGGTGCTGTTCCTACTGCCAAGCTGTCTATCCATGAAAATGCACGATCAGCACTATGCGGCACCACGTTGGGTAGCACTGCGCATCAGACAAAGGAGGTACTCTTGTCTGCCATGTGCACAGGCCTCAAATGGGAGAATGTCGGCCCAACTCCGCCGGGCAAACCAGAAGAGGACCAGCTCGACTGCCCTGATCTTGCAAAGGAACTTGCAAGGAGAAAAGCCTCGCAAGTTCAGTTCGAACCGGCTGATTGGGACAAATTCAACATCACTGCTCTGCGCTCTACCCATTTCATCCTGGTCAACAAGACAAAAGTACTATCGGAGTACTATCGGCCTGTGCAGGAGGGTGGTACGCTCATGTTGGACGAGGCATATTCACTCCTCCCAATGAAAGGCGGCGAAGACTACTCAACGGAGGCAATCACCCAGCTCGTGGCGCTAGCTGATAAGCTCCGGGGGAAATTGGCTATCATCCTCGCCGGCTACTGGGAGCAGCCCAACAATCGGGACATCAAGCATTTGCTTCGGGAGAACAGTGGCCTGGATTCGCGCTTCCCTCTTCACAACCGGATTGATTTCCCCGACTACAAACCACCCGAGCTCCTCAAGATAGCGAAAAACATGATGGATTGGCATGAGAATAAGCTGGATGAGAAGGATGATGGTGCGGCGCGGCGTGCGCTGAGTGAAAAACTCAGCGTGCCTTTACCAGGTAATGCGCGCGATGTGCGTAGCATTCTCGAGGCTGCGATGCGGAAGCGTGATCTTCGAATCGCAGCCATTGATGGCCCGACGCGAGACGATCTCACGATCTTGAAAGCTGAAGACTTCGCTGAGGAAAAACAACCCTCGGTGTACTGAAGATGCCTCTAATAAATAAAACGGACACCTCTACTAGGAGATGGGTAAAAAGGAACAGGTCCCCGCCCTGCGGTCTTAAAAAGTCCAAACAACTCAACGACTCCCCAAATTTGCAGCAACTACCCTGGGCTGAGCGTTTTTGATCTCTGGGTCAGTGGGCGCCCGCCCGCCCCGCCTCTGACAGAGTCTGAGGGGGTCGGGCCCCGGCTCGACTGAAAACAAAAACAAAATGCAGAAACAGTCAAAAACAGCCTGCGTGCTGCGAGAGCGGCGCTGCGCGCCGCCTACCTCGTGCGGGTGTGAGTGACCCCAAACCGCAAACGGTCGTCTGCATCCAAAAAACATGCACATGCACCTGTACCTTGGGTTTTTCTGTGTGCACGTGCACCTTTGGCCCCCATGAGGTAACGATTTACGGTTCGGGCGACGAACCGTGGATTTACAACAACACGACCGTCGCGAGTATTCCGTACGTCGGCACCACCGACTGCAGCGGCGCCGTCGCTCAACGCCGCATTGAGGTCCGTGAAGGACAAACCTGTACCTCTACCTGACAACTGACAAAGCTGTGTGACGACACGAGCATCTCACGCGATCCAATGCTAATGAAGCCGGTACTGCGATTTCTTTTTCCGACTCTTTGGAAGAGAGAACGACGGACAGACAGAGATCGACTCTCACATACGGCTCTAGCCCTAATTCGCGCGCGCGCCGGCACACGAGCGAACGCTTCGTGCACCGGCGCCGGGACGCTGTCCGCTGCACACAAGATGTGGGAATTTCGGAACTAATGGGAACGCGGCGCCACGATGGCCTCAATACGTGTTGTAACTTTCAAGTGTGTTGTGTTGGCCCCATAGCCTGCCCCCTGCCTCGCGTAGCTCTTGCCCCCCCTTGCCTGCTCATCGTCCCGGCGCCCACATCTCGACCTTCTTGGGCAGCAGCTGGTTCGAAAGGTCCTCTCCGTGGCCTAGGCAGGCGTCCTCGCCCTTGCCCCAGGTGAAGACGGCGCCGTCGGCGGTGATGGCGATGCTGTGGCGGGCTCCAGCCGACACAGCGACGACGCGCTGGTCAGCTAAGGCCTCGATCTTCTTCGGCAGCAGCTGCTGCTGCTGGTCGCCGTGGCCCAGCTTGCCATAGGTAGCACCGCCCCAGCTCCAGACAGCGCCGTCGGCGGTGATGGCGAGGCTGTGGGCGCCTCCAGCCGACACAGCGACGACGCGCAGGCCAGTCAACGCCTCGACCTTCTTGGGCAGCAACTGGTTCTGCTGGTCGCCGTGGCCCAGCCGGCCAAAGGCTCCATAGCCCCAGCTCCAGACGGCGCCGTCGGCGGTGATGGCGAGGCTGTGCCATTCGCCAGCAGACACGGCGACGACGCGCCGCCCAGCTAACGCCTCGACCTTCTTGGGCAGCAGCTGCAGCTGCTGGTCGCCGTGGCCCAGCCGGCCCTCGCATCCCCAGCCCCAGCTCCAGACGCCGCCGTCGACGGCGAGGGCAAGGCTGTGGAAGTATCCAGCCGACACAGCGACGACACGCTGCCCAGGTAACGCCTCGACCTTCTTGGGCAGCAGCTGGTCCTGCCCGTCGCCGTGGCCCAGCCGGCCATAGGCAGCACCGCCCCAGCTCCAGACGGCGCCGTCAGTGGTTACGGCGAGGCTATGTTCTCCAGCCGACACAGCGACGACGCGCTGGCCAGCAAAGGCCTCGATCTTCTTGGGCAGTAGCTGCTCTTGCTCGTCGCCGTGGCCCAGCTGGCCAGCACCTCCACCGCCCCAGCTCCAGACGCTGCCGTTGGCGGCGAGGGCTAGGCTGTGACCATCTCCAGCCGACACGCTCACAGCACGCTCGCCGCCCAGCGGGTAAGGGAGGCGGGTCGGCGTGTTGAGCCGCGTCACGCCCTCACCGTGGCCGAGCAGTCCTGGAGCGCAGGACGGCGTTGAGCCACACGACGAGAGCCACCCCTCGCCGTCGATGAAGACGCTGTGCAGATCGCCCGCCGCCAGCCTCGCCAGCGGGTTGGACTCGCAAAGCAACGCAGCGAAGCACAGCCACCGCACGGCGCAGCACTCGCCCTCTGGGTGCGCCGGCAGCTCGAAGCCGCGCTCTTGCGCCCACAAGCGGATGCCCTGCACCGCAAGCGAGGCGTGAAAGAGGAGCGAGACGGCCGCGACGCGAGCGATGTCGGCGGGGCTGTCGCAGCGAGAGAGGGCGCGCACGAGAAGCTCCGTGGGGAGGTCGAGGAGGCGGGCGGGCGGCGGCGTGATTGGCGAGGGCGGGGAGGCTTCTTTTAGAAAAAGAAATTTGGGTAGCGAGGATTGGTGTAACCCGAGCCACGGAGGCGTGTTTTCTGACGGCCGACCGTCAGTGCACGGAGTTGCCCGATGCCAACTGGGCGCGAGAGCTGCGCCGCGCCGCCCACGCCATCAGAGCTGCCTTCGGCGCCGCTGCCCGCGACAGTCGTCACCGCGCCCGTCGCCACCTCCACCCGCCGGATCTTGTGGCTCCAGAAGTCTGCCACGAACAGCGCGCTGCCGTTGGGGCTGACGGCGATCCGTCGGCTCCATCGCCGACGCCGCCTCCCACGACAGCGGCTACAACGTCGCTCCCTACGACGTCGCCTTTCGCACCATCAACCGCCAAACTGCCTCCGGCCGCCGATTGGGCCGTTGAACTGAGCCGCGTCGCCCACGCCATCCCCCGATTCGTTCTCTTGCTCGCTTGCCGAGCGTCATACGACGGCCGGTGTGGTCGTTTCCCTCGTTGTTGGTGTCGCTTTCTCCGCTGCCGCCTTTCGTCTTCGCCGGCTTCTCCCGGCTCCACCGGTTCCGAGAGTGTCGACGGCCCGGCCGAGGTTTCCCCGGGCGAGGACGGCGGCATAGGGTCGCGTCGCCTCCCCGCCCAGGGAGGTCGGGCCGGCTCTCCCTGGTCGACGAGTCGCGCCCGCATCCGCGGTCTCTCTATCGTCCTCGGCTCGCCCCTCCCCTCCGCTGGCCCCTCATCGAGCTCGGAGGGCCGTGGCTCCCCTTGCCGTAGATCGCGGTGGTCCCCGGCCGCCGCCGCGACGGGTCTACCTCCGGTGGGCTCGCACGGCCCGACTCCACTCGCAGAGGCCGAGTCAGCTCGATCCTCCCCTCCCCCGACAGTTGACTCCAGGTCTCGCCCGGGGCCCTCCGGTCCTGGCCCTCCGGATTGGCGGGTCGGAGTGCAGTCACGCCGCTCGGTTTTCTCTTTTCGATAGAATATCCGCCCAAAACGCTGGCGATACAACCCGACGATGGCGCCGGAAACGCTCGTCACGAGCACTGCGATCGCGGTTGGTCTCTCGACGCTGATATCGCTGCGCTGCGTCGGTCGCAAGCCCCTATCCGCGGCTGCGCTGCTAGCCGCCGTCCACTGCGCCGACATCGAGTTTTACCTGAGGATGCTGGTGGTCGAGCTGCTCGCGGCCTGGCGGCGCCAGCGCGCCGACGTGGGAGAGCCCGATCGCACGCGCTACTGCTGCTGGCCCACCGACCTGGACCACTCGGCGAGTATGAACCACGCCAAATACTTGCGGTTTGTCAATTACGCACAGCGCCAGTTTTGGATGCGCAACGGCGTGTGGGCGGTCTGCAGGAAGCGCTCGCCGCCGGTCAGGCTCGTCGTCGCCGCCTCGACGCTGCGCGTGACGCGGCCGGTGGCTCGGCTCTCTCGGCGCCACGCCCCTCCTCGTGCCTATGCCTCTCTTCATAGCTGCAGCCGTGAACAGGTCCGCTGCTTCGAGCGGTTCGCCGTGACGACGCGGCTGTGAACAGCGTCTCTTCACACCCATGGCTGTGAACAGGTCCGCTGCTTTGAGCGGTTCGCCGTGACCACCCGGCTGCTTGCGTGGGACGACCGCGCCTTCTTCCTGCAGCAGACCCCTAGATGCATGGCAGCGCACAGCAGGCCTGTAGACAGTGGCAGCAGGCCTCTGGTTGCCTCGGGGCATCGCCTTGCAGCATGCGCCGCACACGCCCCAGGCTTCCGGAAGAAGAGGCACTGCCGCCTAGCCGCCCGGCGGGGTGCGCTGCGGAGTGGACACAGACCTAGGCCTAGACACACCCCAGAGGAGGCACTGCCGCTTGACACAGACCTAGGCCTAGACACACAGACCTCGGGCGCGGGGCACGCACCGGGGCGAGTGGGCGGCGGCACAGACCAGACGCCGTGAGGCGGCCACGCGCCCCGCACGGCACGCACCGCTGCACAGAGCACCGACACCGCAGAGCGCCGCAGAGCACCGCAGAGCACCGCAGAGCATCTCACTGCAGAGCGCCGCAGAGCGCCGCCTCCTCCCATCTGCCTCCTCTCGCCGCGCAGGCAGCACACCTTTGAGTCTGCTGACGACGGCGCCCGAGAGAGAGAGAGAGGGAGAGGGAGGGAGAGGGAGGGAGAGGGAGAGGGAGAGGGAGGGAGAGGGAGGGAGGAAGCGAGAGAGAGAGGGAGAGGGAGAGAGAGTGAGGGAGAGAGAGAGAGAGATGCGGCGGGCGGAGGCCCACACTGGTTCGACACACCGGCACACTCAGCACAAGACGCCCGCTCTCCTCACGGCCGCCTGTCTGGTTTCTGACGGGGCGGCGTTTTCTCTCTGTAGGCGACCTGCTCGCCGAATGCCTCATCCGCCACCGACCGACGAGCGAGGCCGGTGGGGCAGACACCCGAGATTGCCCGAGATTGCCCGAGAGTGCCCGAGATTGCCCGAGAGTGCCCGAGATTGCCCGAGAGTGCCCGAGATTGCCCGAGATTGCCCGAGAGTGCCCGAGATTGCCCGAGGGCGGGGACGACGGACGCACCGCTCCAGCACGGAGACGCTGCCCACCCCCACCCCCACCCCACCCCCACCCCACCCCTACCCCACCCCGACCCCACCCCTACCCCCCCCTGACCCCCCCCCGCCTGACGCTCACCCTCGTCCTATCTGCCTGCCCTGATTATAATACCGGAGGAGCGCGACTTTGTTCGGCTCGTGGCGTCGACGCTCATCTGCTCATGCTAC